CCACCTGCACAGACCTTTCTTTCCAGTATGTATCCAAAGCAGGTAAAGCTGTCTGCCAGCTGCCCCACACTCTGAGCTGAGTGGGGAAGGGACAGGGTGGTGGCGCGGGGGGGATGAGAACTCTGGAATCTCAGCTGTGCGAACTTGGACAAGTTATAATCCTTAACATCTGTGAATCTCAGTTTGTTCATCTGTAAGCTGGTGTCAGCAATACCTGTCTTGCAAGTTTGCCCCTAGGGTAAAGTGAAACTGTGAGTGAAGCAACTGCCCTGCACCAGGTGCTCAGGAAAGGGCGGTCATTTTTATAGAGCCGTCACCCACTAGGCTGAATGATGAATAGAATACATGAGCAGCTGAGAAAGAAGCAACTGAAAATGGACCCCAAACTAGAAGTTCTTTAGGCATCTAGTTGTAAGTGGATGGGATTCTGTTTGGATTAAGGAGGAGTAAGTAGATTTGTTCTCCTCTAACCATTTTGCATACAATTCACAGATGCCAAATGCACAGAGAATTCTCTGAGTTTGTCTTAGGAACCCTGGAGAGGAATCCAGACTAGGGTGGATTCAGGTTTTCAGGTTATCTGCAGCTCATCACTTCACTGGTGAGAACATAATGGAGTACTTCTCAAGCCCAGCTGAACGTTAGCGTCACCTGGGGAAAGTTTCTAAGCTCTGGATCCCAAGCCCACTCCCAGCCAATTTCATCACAATCTCTGCAGGGTGGGACCCAGTTTTCATTACTTTGAGAACTCCCCGGTGATTCTAACTTGAGCTCCACCTGACCAGAAGCTCTCTGAGGTCCCTCCCAGCATCCTGGGGCCTGCAACCACACAGGATTCAGAGTATACACTTAGCATATGCTAATTAATAAATGAATGAAGATTGTGACTCACCTTGGTTTTTTGCTGTTCCTATATTCATAATCAATAAGAAAAGAAAAAGCATAGCATGGTCCAACAGATTTTTGCAAAGATGGAAAAGTTGTATAATCTATGCTGTTCATTATAGTAGCCATGAGCCAAATGTGGTTACTGAGGACTTGAAATGTGGCTATTGTGATTAGGAAACTACATTTCTAAATTTTATTCATGGTCAACTTGAAATTGAAAGAACTACAGCTGCTTTTTATAAATACAACTACACCTCTGTATCACCACACCCCCTTTTACTAACAGTACCCCATTATGTTTAGGGGAGCCCCTTATCTCCACTACCTGCAGCTATAGCCTGGTAGCCAGTGAAGCTGCCTCACCCTCTGCCAGTGGAAAGGTGGGCCCAGGACCCAAGCTAAGTCAACCAGACTCTCCTGGGAATGCGACTCAGTGTCACAGGTACAGAAAATGAGTCGGAGCAGATTGCTCTCAGTGTCCATGCCCTGAGACACTGTGTGCTTGTTTCTAGAAAATTGGTGCAGAGAATAATGATGACAACAGTGATATATGACGAGAGCTAGGCTTGATCATCACTGTCCTTTGTCATTATCAAAGGCACTGGTATCCAGCAACTCTGTTGTCCCACTCCTGGACTAGGGACATAATTTGCCTAACTTCTCTTCCACAACATTTCTTCATTTATACAGTGGGAATCATGCTCATGCTAACTTCTTCCAGAGTTTTTGTGAAGACAGAAAAAGCTTTGAGCCAATTAAGGAAGTCCCCAAATCTCTGTGATATGTGCTGTTCCCAGGGCATAAGCATGGGGGAGCCACGGAGGCCAGACTGAAGGACTCAGAACCTGCCCCAGTTCACAAGCTATGCAACATCAGGCAAGACACTTGACCTCTCTGGGCTCTTGGCTGAGGCTGAGATACGCATGCCCCTTTCCAGTTTCACCATTTTCTAATTTATTGGCATGCCCCCTTCCCTGATACACATCCCTTCCTCCTGCTATGCACAGCTGCCAGAAAATCCTTTAGCCTCCATGCTGGCCTGTACCCAAATCATTTCTTCTCTTCCCAGATCCCTACCCTGCTGGGAAGTTGCCCTGGGTAGACATCCTCATAGTTTTCTGTACTCTCAGGCAAAGACTTGATGGGAATCATATCTAACCATCTCCTCCACCAGTAGACCAGAAGCTCTACTAGAGCAAAAACCATGTTCCTCTCGTTCACTACTGTGTCCTCAGTGCCCAACACAGCATCAAACACAAAGCAGGTGCTCCATAAGGGCTTCCTCTTTCAATGTTTGAGTGAATATCCCAAGTCTATTTATTCATTTCATTTCAGGAAATCCACATAATTAGTTATGTAATGTTGCAACTCAAATTACCCTCAACAGTTTACCAGCTTAAAACAATAATTACTTATCTCAATTTCTATAGGACAGAAAAATTCAGACAGGGCACAGTGAGGTTGCCTGGGACCTCAGTTACAAGATTTAAAGGCTGGGAGCTGAAATCGTGGGAAGTCTCAGTTTACTGTCTATCTGGTGATTGATTCTGGCTGTTGGCTGACAGCCTACTGGGAGATGTCAGCCAGGACAACCTCCTATGGCTTCTTAATGTGGCCTGGGCTTCCTCTCAACATGATGGCCGGCATCTTCTGAGAAAGGAAGCTGTCTCCTTTCTGTAACCTAGCCTTAGGTGTCACATAGGATCATTTTCATCACTTTTCATTAAAGTTGAGTCCCTAAATTCGGCCAACGTTCAAAGCAAAGGGAATCAGACTGGGCTTTTTTTAAAGGAGGGATAAACCACTTGCAAGCATATTTTGCACTTGATTAACTAACACAAGAGAAAAAGAATAGGGTGGAAACTACGTTTCCGAAAAGGAAGACTTTGTACAAATTCTAGCTCTGCTATTTGTCAGCTGTGTGAGCCTGGGGAAATTACTCTTTGAGACTTAGTTTCCCCATTTATACAATGGCAGTTGTTTATCTTTAGTGATGTCTATGTGCTTGGAATCTTCTTGCCTCAGGAAGCATAAGAAGGGTCCTGGGACCCGTGAGTCCTTCTCCATCACTGAGAAGCTTTGGTTTCATGATCCTAGAGGGAGTAAGAGGTAGCTACTAGAACTCAGGGACCCAGAAAGTCTGATGCAAGAACTTTAAAGAACGGATGGAAGACCACTGAGAGCCCAGGGATTTTCTAAGGCAATAGTGGCAAAGCTATGGCACAAGAGTTACTTGTTCTTCTTCTAAGACAAAAGATGTTAATATATGACTTGCTTTTCCTAAACTAAAACCTCAATATTCAGGTTTAATGCAGAGTTGGCACTTTGCAATAAATAAGTGGGTTTTAGATCTCTAAAAGGTTCACCATCACTGCTCTAAGGGCTTCTCTGTCCCATCTTGGTGTGGAAACCTCAGCATGTCAAGTGAAGCAAGTTAGACCTAATAAATATGAATCTACTCACTGGAAGCCTGTGTATTAGTTGGCTTTCCACTATTGTAACTAAATATCCAAGACAACTAACATAAAAAGAAAAAGTTTGTTTTGGCTAGCCATTCTGGAGGTTCTATTTCAAGACAGGCAGTGCATAATATTGAGTCCCTGGCTAGGGCAGCACATCATGATGCAGGACAAACACGTTACATCACCAGCCAAGAAGCGCCGCGTAAAAGGGAGAGGTCCCCAACTCCCCTTCAGGACCCCAAATCTCCTATGAAGGAATGTCCCCAATGACCTAAGGATCTCTCACAAGGCCTCACTTCCTAAAGGTTCAACCATGTCCCAGTAACACCACCCTGGAGAGCAAGACTTCCATAATGTGCCTTTGGGAGACACTCAACATCCAATCCATCATACCCTGGAATCTGCATTTTCCCAGGGAGACTATTACAGTAACTATTGGTAGGGGGAAGGAAAGGTCTTACAGCACACAGTCAGCTCTGAATTTCGGCATAGTTCTTTGCTATGCTCCATGTTCCAAGGGTTACAGCTCCATGGAATGGGGGAGGGGGAGGGTTGCTGAGTCCTCGAAGTCCTGGTGACACACAACACAACCTGCTGTACTTTAACCTTTTTCTGTGCTGGGCTGAGTCACCCCAATCATAGCGTCCCACTCTTAGATCATGGGGAGCAGCATCCCTCCCTCCCTGGCCGAGTCTGTGGGGAGCCGGTGTCCAAAGCCCAGTTCAGGCGGGAGGACTAGGAACCACTTCCCAGGGACATCACTCCTACCGCTGAAGGGAACCGGGAGTAGGATGACTCTTAACCCTCTCGGTTCCTGAGGTAACTCCCAAGCCCTTGATAGCTTCCCTCAAGGAACGCCCGCGCTAGGAGTTCATCCAGTGTGATCAGCTGACAGATAGGGAAACTGAGGCTTATGGAGGGTGTGGAACTCCTAGACAGAAACAGACCCTGAGCCCGCCTAGAACTCTGGTCTTGCCGCCCAGTGTTCTGGCTTCTACACGCGGAAGGCCCCGAGAGCTATGTCCCCACTTAGGGAAACTCCTTCCGCGCCTGGACTCTCCCTGGAGTTTGCGCTCTGTTTGGCCCACTGTAAACTTCCTCTGCAGCTTCGCGCCCTGAGAGGCGAGAACGAAGCGTTTGCCCACTGCATCCCTGAGGCAACTTGGGGCAGAGAGGGACGGCTGCGGGAGGAGGACCGGGCAGGAAGGCGCTGGCCCTTTAAGGGGAGGACGGAGCGCATGCGCGGCGCGGACCGGAGTCGAGCCGGGTGGGCGGTGGCGGCCGGCAGGGGACCCGGCGGGCAGCAGCGGGGCCCAGGGGTGGCGGGGGCGTAGGCTAGCCCCAGCTTTGCGGGTTCGCTGAGCTGCCACCTGCCGTGGCTCCGCGCTCGCAGGCCGCTCGCCCGCTCTGTCACTTGCCTCCAGCTGCATCCGCCGGCCGCGCCCGCCCCGCGGTCCCTCCGCCCCTCCTTCAGCCGGGCCGCGGGAGCCCGGGCGGCCGGCACGGAGCATCCTCCGCGCTCCCCGGCCGCGCCGCCGCCCATGCTGCAGCCGGCTCGGTGCAGCGACCCCGCGGCCGGACTCTGTCGCGCCGCCGGAGCCGGGCCCGCCGAGCCCGGGGGTCCGCGCCCCACGATGGCTCAGCTGGCGCCGCGCCGCGCCGGGTGCCTCCCGTCCTCCCTCTGAGACGCGCCGGGCCAGGGACCCTCGGGGCGTCGGCGCCCCAGGCCTTCGCCTCCGCGCTGCGCCTCGTCCCTGCCCCTCCGCGAGGGGACAGGGGCCCGGACAAAGCCCACTTTGTGCGGGGATCTCGCCGCGCGCGTGGAATGTGCGCGTCGGCTCGCCCGCCAGCTGTGCGTCTTGGCTCCCGGAGAAGTCGCCCCCCGGCGCCGCCCTTCCACCCGGGGGTCCGGACTCGCGCTCGGCGGCCTGGGCTCCCCGTGGTCCCGCCGTCCCCTGCGGCTCGCGCAAGTGTGAGCGTGCGAGGGGTTTGTAAAGGAATTTGCTCTCTCCAAAACTGGGACCTGGGAGGTCCGATCGGCGTGGGCACCTTCCCTTTCCGAGATATCGCGACAAAACTGGCCTCAGTTTCCTCCGACGTTCCTCGGTTCTGCCGAGCTAGACTGCTGCCCGTCATTGTTCTTGCCTGATGGGGGTGTTTTGTGAAGGCAGCCAACCCGGGGTGTGCTCTCTTTATGCTGTTATTCAAACAAAAGGCTTCTAAGGCTGACCTCCGACAACCCACTCCCTGGATCCCCACTTCAGGTTGATGCACTGATTTTTTTTTTTCTTACCAAGTAGTATTTTATTATAAAGGAGCCACGCCCTGGTTTCTTAAAGGCACCCTCACTCTGCTTGGCCATGTGTTAAAACTGCAGCTGTTGTGTGGGTGGCCTCCTGTTGAGCCACTCATTTTTCCCGCCTTCTGATACACGTCTTCTCACCCTCTTCGAGGATTTAGGGATGCCAGGGGGAAAGAAGGTGACCACAGGTGGCAGCAGCAATGCTGCCCCGACTGCCACTGCCACAGTCACCAATGCTGCCCCTTCTGGGGTCAAGCGTTTGGAGACCAGCGAAGGGGCTTCAGCCCAGAGAGATGACGAACCAGAGGAGGAAGGGGAAGAGGACCTGAGAGATGGAGGTGTCCCTTTCTTCGTCAACCGGGGTGGGCTCCCTGTGGATGAAGCCACCTGGGAAAGGATGTGGAAGCACGTGGCCAAGATCCACCCCGATGGAGAGAAGGTGGCGCAGCGGATCCGTGGGGTCACGGACCTGCCCAAGGTGAGGCGCTGGTTGGGGCAGGGGGATGGGTCACAGGATGAGCTGGTGACCTTGGGACCAAGAGAGCAGAGTCACACTCCTCTGATGGATGGGATAGGGGGCCACTGGTACCCTAAGATTTGAAACTACAGGCCGGTCGCACCTGCCCAGAACCTGCTGCTGTAGAGGTCGGTCAGTGAGGGAGGCTCTCCTCCGTGGCTTTATGGGCACACCACAGATGCACTGAAAAATATACGAACGTGGCTTGGCCTCCTTTGGCCAATGACACCTCTTAAGCCAGAGAACTATGAGAGGACAGTTAATGAGTGACTAAGGACATACAGGGCTTTGTATGTTGAGAAAATAGTTTCATGCATTACCTCACTGAATTCTCCCAAAGCCTCAAAGTAAGTACAGTTTGGGTCCCCACTTGACAAATGAGAAAGGTCAAAACTCAGGAAGTCAGCGTTCCTCAGGCGGTAAGTGGCAGAGTTAGGACCCACGGCCAGGTCTTTGGCCTCCAGCTCCTCTGCTTTGTTGGACACTAGATTCAGGGATATCAAGAGTAAAGAAGAAAAAGGAGAAGTGGAGAAGGGTAAAGTTAAATAATTTTTGTGTTGGTTGTAACTCCTCTGTGACAGCAGCCCCTCAATGGTGTGGCCAAGGAAGGCAGAGGCTGTGTCTCATTCATCTTTGTCACCAAGGTCTCCTGTGTGCCCGGCACAGATCAGGCACTGATGTGTGTTTGCTGAATGAAAGGGTGTCTGAGACTCTCTGTGCTGTACAGTGCTGTACGGAACTACATGCCGGGTAGGTTCTTTAAAACATTACGAGCGAGTCTGAGGAAGCAGTGTACCAGTGCAGGACCCTTTGGGTGGAAGGCAGAGCACAGTACTTGGTCTCACCTGCTCAGGTCAGAAGGGCAGGGCCTGGGGAGAATGGAGTTAGTGTGGCCTAGACATTGGACAAGTGGCCTGTTTTGTTTTTACCCAGTTATTGGTAGAGCTATCAGGAAATAGCTCCTGAAAAAAGAAAATCAGAGGTTGAAGGTTGACCTCCTGCCTGATTTTTCCAGGGGCAGTAATGTAGATTAATTTGAAGGGCTGCATTTTCCTCTGTACTGATTTATAATTTATTTAGCTAGTTTCCTACAGTTGGATGTTGTTTCCAGTATTCTTAAAATGAACACTGTGTTGAACATTCTAAAATATGGATTTGGGGATCCAGCTCTGATTTTTTTTTGCCCTCTTGGGATAAATCCGAGTACTTACCTACCTACAATGCATGAGGCCCTGGGTTCAGTCCCCAGTACCACCAAAAAAACCCCAAAAACAAAACCAAAAAAACACCCAAGGGATATGGACTTGGTTTGGATTACTGCCACATGGTCACGTGACCCTGGGTAAGTAAGCCCCTTTGACCTGAGCCACAGTTTTCTCATCTATAAATTGGGGTTGAATGTTGAGAGGAATAAAGGAGAAACCGTATTTTGAAGCAACTATAAAGCTTCAAGCAACACTGGTTATGGATGTTCATTACCTTTTGTTCCTCCACGAGGAGGGGAAACTAGATGTCAGCATTTGTGCCAGTGAGGCCAGAGTCACATGCTTGTCCCACATGAGCAAGCCATCTTGCTTATGTCTGAATCAGGCTGCAGAACAGTGCGGATGGTTTTCTGCAGAACTGTCACCACTCCTGGCAACTGAAACACATCAGTGAGCTCCCTGCCAACCAGTCAGTAATGTCCTCTTGTCATCTTCCATCCTCATGGATAGGAAGGTCACAGATGAAGGAGTGAAGCTGTTTGTGGGGGAGGAGGGAGTCGAGACAGACAGGAGTATGGTAGGGTGGACAGACTTGTAAGAGGCTTGGAAATTTGGGAACTTCCCCTCCTGAGGCCATGGGAAAAGTGTCTCAGAGAAATAACATGAGTCTCTCCCCTACCTCAGCCCAGAGTGGAGGGGAGCCCTGGGGTCTGGGCAGTATAGGGGGTTGGGAGACCTTGGAGAGGAGCAGCTGTGGTTGGGTGCCAGAGTTTGGGCTACCCCTCCCCAAGTGTCGCTGCCATTGGAGCTGACAGAAGCATTTCTGCAGAGTTGTGCTGGGGTGGGACCAAGAAGGGTTTTGTTGGGACTGTGCAGTGTTTTAAAAGACCACTTGAGCCAGAAGTTAAAATTGGAAGCTTTCTCACATAACCATCCGGAGCTTTGGCATTGTTTCAGAAAATAAGAATATTTGGGAACAGAGAATCTGCAAGCCCACATGGCAGCTGGCAGCCGGGGCTGGGAGCCGCTCCCATCTTCCCCAGTTTGCCACAGCACCCTCACCCAAGCCTGCCTTCCCCATCATGTCACCTGCCTGGCCCTGCAGGCAGCTGTGGCCAGGCCCCCTGCAGGGCTAGCATGATAAAAAGAGCACTCTGGACTCCACCATGGTTCAGGTCCTTAGTCTCCCATAGCTACTTAAGTGAGGAAGGTGTACAACCTCCTTGCTGTCAGCTTCCTCAGCTGTAAAATGGGCACGATGCCAATGCCTACTTCAGAGGATGTTGAGAGGAATTAGTGATGTAAGCCAGCGGTGCCTCATAAGGTGAGGATCTAACACGTGCCCAGTACACAGCAGACCACCCTCCGAGCGCTTTGGAGAAGTGCTGTACAGGGGTGATGCCAGTATGGTAAAGGGCCACAGTTTCTGGAAGGATCCCAAAGACAGCAACAGCTCATGCTCCTTGCTAAGAATCTTTCCTTGCTCTTTCAAGCTGCCACCATGTTTTTTACAAGCCCCGACCCTTTACCCAAACCCTGCTGCCGAAGGCCTGATGGTGGCTCTGGCCACCGTGCACCAGACACATCACATTGCTGGGGTCAGTGTATGCTGACTGCTGTCTTTGGCACACACTAGTGGCAGTGACAGTGGGCAAGAATTGAGCCTTTGTTACCTGCCAGGCTGTGTTCTGAGATGTCCACAAACAGCACCTCATTCACGCCACAAGGTTGGTTCTATAATGGTGACTGTTTTATTAGCAGTGTCTGAGGCCCAGAAAAGTTCTGGAGTGTCACTAAAGTCACAGAGCTGGTATATGGCAGCATGTCTGTTCTGGAGTGGGTTCTGTTCAACTCTAGACCATCCTGTATCTTGTCTACATGTCAGCTGCAGGCTCTCCTGCTTCCTCAGGCCTTGCTGTGCCCAGAGGGGCTGCTCCAGTGAGGGTGTCCTGGGACAACTACAGGTTGTCGGGTTTCCTGGACCAGTAAGGGGTTGGCCTTGGTCATGGAGCAGGAGTTGTGTCTGAGATCACTCACCCTCGTGGTACCCCATGTAACCCCACAGGGAAGAAATACTAGCTGCTCCTATTTCAGAGGCAGGAGTTGGGGACTGATCCAAGTGACCCATTCCACAGTGGACCTGGTCATCTGGATGCAGAGTCTCTAATTGTATTAAGGGCATAACTGCACGTGTAATGAACACACAGGAAAAAGATAGACCTTGGTCTGGGGTGACAGTAGTCAAGGAGCTGGCCGGACAGCTCCTTCCAGCTTATTCTCAGCGGCAGTGCCCTTTAAGGCCCTGCTTGGGAATCCCAGGATTTTCTTGATCTTCTCACAGAGCAGTGGTTCCTGAGGCCTCTGGATGGCAGATCCCGATGATGCGCTCTCTTGGGGACTGCCTGGCGCTGGCCCAGGCCTGGCTCTGGGTGAGCTCGGCAAATGGTTTTGATGTTTTCTTTTTTTTGGTACCGAGGATTGAACTCGGGACCTTGCACTTTCGAGTCAGGCGCCAGAACCACTGAGCTAAATCCCCGGCCTCGGCAAATGGTTTTGGCCTGCAGCTCTTCCTGTCTGGAGTTCCTCATGGGAGGCTGTGCTCACACTTCTCAAGGTCCCCGGGTCCCCACTTTACAAGCAGGGATGGTCCTGCCTCCATCTGAGGAGCTCAGGTGACTGGATGGATATGTGACGCTGGAATTCCCATAACACCTCGCCCACCTCCCCCGCCTCCATATCCTTGACCCGGGGAACTCCTCCAAACCCTCCCAGTTCCTAGGAAAGTTCTGAAGCCTATTTGGCACAGGATACTCAGGCAAGAAGGGGAAGCCCCTGTCCTTGGGCTTTTCTGGGGTGATTCTGAGCTGTGGCACCATCGCTGGCTGCATTGTGAGGAGACGAGTGATGGGAAAGGGGAACTAGCTGCCTCCAGATGAGGAGAGTTGTCAGCTGCTCATCCCTGTGGTTGCCACGGACTGTCCAGAACGGGAAGGAGAGGACCGGAGGGAGGGAGGGCTGTCTGCAAAGTTGCCATTCTGGACCAGGGGCCCTTCCCTCCTGCATCTCTGCCCTTTGGAGGGAAGCAGTATATTTTAGACACTGTCTCATGCCCTCTACTATCAGCAGCACCCTAGACACAAGTGTGCACTGATAAACTGGTATGTCACTTCCCTCCCTGTCAGAGGCATGGCAGCCACATTACTGAACAGTGTCCTGAGGACTCAGCATCTCTAGCCTTCTCACAGCTGGCTTTGCTGGGGGCCAAAGGGAGAACCCAGAGGGGTGCGCCATGACCCTGGAAGTCTGTGTCTTTCACCCAAGGAGGTCTGTTCTGAAACCCCAGAGGACCCTCATTGTTGATTTCTGGGACCTCTGGTCTTCACGATTTGCCAGGACTCAGGCTCCCTGGCTGGAGAGGGGCCCACACCTGCACAGTGGCCTCCATACTGGAGACTGCCTGGTGGCTGGGGTCTGCTGCCCCTCACCTGAATCCCTGCAGCCTAGCAGCCACTTCCTGTGTGTTCCCAGGTGTTGGAAAGTCCCTTCTGGTGAGGACTGCCTGGTTACCTGTACTGCTTGTGTGTAGAGCTGACAGGAAAAGAAGGTATTCAGGAGACCCCGAGGCCTCTATGCCTTTGTGAAACCCTGCCAAAGCCCCCAGGCCCCAGCAGGTGGAGCCACAGCAAGACTGACCTGTCTTGCATTGCTTTGGCTTGCTGGCATACCCCTTGATGGTTCAGACTGTTGCTTTGGAAAGCCTAGAAAATCTACCTGTGCTGCTGGGGTGGGTAATGCTTGCTGCTGAGGAAATATCCACTTTTCTCAGACAGCTCTCCAAGCCCAGGGCACCACCCTGGGAGCATAGGATGCAGAGAAGACAAGTTTTAATCTAGCACTGGAACCAGAGTGTATTCATCTGTTTATTGTTACTATAATGAAATATCTGAGGCAGGTACTTAGGAAGAAAAGTGGTTTATTTAGCTCAGAGCTTTGAGGCTGAAAGTTCCGCCTCTGATGAGGGCCTGATGGTGGCAGATGGCATCATGGCTGGAGTCCAGGTGAGAAAAGGGAGAGCACATCACAAAACAGAAAGCCAAAGCAAGGAGGCAGGGCCAGGCTTGTTCCTTTTATGACAACCAGAGAACAGTTTTCATCTTTTCTGAGGCTCACCCCAAATGGCCTAGTGGCCTCCCACTGGAACCCATTTCTTAAAGTCACCACACTGAGGACCAAGCCCCAAACAAACCACTTCCAAAACAGCCTGAATTCTTGGTAAGCCTTGAAGTTAATTGATATTTAAAATTCAAAACAATGAGTCAACCTGTGTTTTTCTAAAATTATTAAAGAAGCATAAAACTGGAATATCAACAGTAAGTTTCATGTTAGAAATGCCTGATGTCAGGTGCCAGAAGGGGAGGAAGGCTGGGATGGGGCCCTGGGAGAAGGTTCCAGGAAGGGCTGCCAGGGAAAGATGCTCAGGGTAGGGAGGAAGCGAGGCTGCTCCCCCCAGGATAGTCTGCACCCTGTGACTAGAGCCCTTTCTGTGTTCCCAGATTCCCATACCAAGTGTGCCTACTTTCCAGCCGTCTATGCCAGTCCCGGAGCGCCTGGAAGCCGTGCAGCGCTACATCAGGGAGCTGCAGTATCCTCTCTGGTCCAAGGCCATGGCCTCTGGCTGGCTGGTGTGATGGGCCCAAAGGCCAAGTGGGTTCATTTCAGAAAAGGTTGGCGAGGGACCAGCTGAGCTGCCTCCTTCCCAGCCCAGACTCCAGAGATGCCATCCTTGAGGCATCTGTGCTCCATGAGGATTTCATCTGTCTTCCAGTGGGGTTGCTGTGGACTGGGGAGGGCGGGTGGGCTCGGGAGCACCTGACAGGCTGAGCCAGATCCCTACCCCTCCAGCCTCTTGCGCTTGCTACTGCTTCCCAGCTGTTAGGAAATTCCAGTGCTGGCTGCCTTCTCAGTTTCCCATCCTAGGAAGGGAGGCCAGGGGAGAGCAAGGGAGGAGGAAGGAGAAAGCTAGTACTGTAGCTGTGCCCTCTCCCTTCTGGGAGAACCAAGCCTGAAGCATGCTCCACAGTATCTTAACTTGGTGAGGTCCTTATCTGACCTGCACCCCTGGGAGTGCAGGGCCCCCATTTTGGGGCCAGGGCAGGGCAAAGGGACCCCCTCCTGTAAATCAAACCATGAAGTCCTTAACCAGGGCCTGCAGGTACAATCACACAGGGACACAGTTCTTTGAAATTAAGAAGAGCAGACCTCTGACAGGGTAAGTACAGGGAGGCAGTGGTAAGTACCCCAGGCTCATATGCCCCTGGCTGGGTTGGATCCTCTGGGGAGCCCTGTGGTTTGTCTTTCAGTGGAAGCTTAGGAGACAGGTAGAGACCCCAGGGAAGCCAGCCAAGGTTGCAGAAACATTGAGGCCTTACTTACTCTCTCAAAGTCCTGGGTGGAATCCAGCCTCCCTAACTCCTCAGCTGTATTCCTGCTGTTCAGTTGGTGCAGTGTGCTGGCGGTGTGCCCCAGCCTCCAGGGGGTGGAAGAGTCTAGTTGCCCTTCTTGAGGCAAGGCCAGGCCTGGGGCAGCATTTGTTGAGGAGGGAAGAGCCAGGCTTCCAGGACAGGCTGTCTTAAATGGCCTGAATTCTCAGTTCAAGAGCAGGTAGGGGGGGTCTTGAGGCTGTCTGCCTGAGGTCCCATATTCAGTCTGCCAAGGAGCGGTTGGAGTCAATGGCAAGATTTTGGGAGGAGCTATGGTTGGGTCAGGAGTGTCCACTGTGCTCCGAAGGGAAGAGGTCAATGCCAAAATCCCACCACCTCCCCACTGCCATTGGAGAAGGTCCCAGCACAGTGGTTGTCGAGGTCCTGCTGCTGTGCATGCTCCCCTCCTCCACAGGTCTTTGTCCTAGGCTGGAGCCAGGCGTGAGAGGAAGTGAAAGAAGGGACAGCAGGAGAGGGGGCTTCCTTATCACCAGCGGCCTCCTGTCCACTGCACTCCTCTGGCTCCCGACTGTGGGCAGCTTGGTGTGGGACTCTTTCCTTCCAGCATTTCTGGTCCACCCTGTGCCCTCCTGATACTCCCTCACCAGAAGAGGCTGGAATCGCTGTCCTCATAGTCCTAACTTTCCCACAGGCTGATGGACCTGGCCAAGGAAATGACCAAAGAGGCTCTGCCAATCAAATGCCTGGAAGCCGTGATCCTGGGAATGTATCCTTTCTCCCAGACAGGGGGTCTGGCAGCCCGGGCTCTCCAGACCTCTGCTCCCTGCTCTGGAAGGAGGACTGGGTGGGATCTGAGGCTCTCCTGCTTCCAGCCTAGGGGATTCAGTCCCCCTGTAGTCCTCAGTTCTTCCTTCCCAGGCTTTCCAGGCAGCTCGTTCTGGAGTCCCATGGACACAGTGACCTTGTTGTCAGAATCCTGAATCAGGGAACAACTTGGGCTGTTGTGCCATTTCCAAGAACCTGACTGGGAGAAGCAGGCAGGAGGCTCAGTGCTGGCGTGTCTAGGACATGTGATTTGTGGAGATGACACATGGGGTCCTAGAAACACATGGGTCCCTGGGGAGAGGTGGAGCCCACATCTGGGTCAGCAGGGTCACTAGAGGGACAGACAAACCCCCAGAAGGACTGCCCTTCCCTGGGCCCCCAGTCAGAGCCAGAGCAGTCCCTCAGCCTCAGCCCTACTTTCTTTTCTTTTCTTTTTGTTTTGGTACCAGGGATCAAACTCGGGTCCTTGTGCTTATGCAGCACGCGGCAAAACCACTGAGCTAAATCCCCGGCCCTACTTTTCTTTAGTAATTTTATTATAAAATATTTAAACAATACAATGAAATCCTGTGTACCCATTTACTTAGCTTCATCAGCTCAAAGCCAATTGCATTTCCACTCTCCCCTACCCATAATCCCATCAGCTTTTGTTTTTCTTTTTTTGGTACCAGGGATCAAACTCGGGTCCTTGTGCTTGCGCAGCAGGTGGTGAAACCACTGAGCTAAATCCCCGGCCTCCCATCAGCTTTTAAACCTGGGGCAGGCAGCCCACCTGGCCCAGAGCTCAGAAGAGCACAGATTGGGGGTGGTCAGGAGTAGAGGGAAAGGAGCTGCATGGAACAAGGCAGTCTGTCCCTGGGACAAATCCCAGGAGGAGAAAGTGAGAAGCACACTCCTCCAGGGGGCCGTGACCCCAGGGTCACTCCCATTGACACACCTGCCTTGGGTGTGTGGGGGTCCCCAGTGCTATCTCTGTGGTGGTTGTCATCTGTAACAGGACAGGCCCATGCCTAGGAGCCCTGTTTATGGGGCCCTTTGCTAGTTTAAGCGTAGGACCGCCTGAGAACTTCAGGCCACTGCCATTACCCATTGGAGGCCACGCACCAGTGAGGCTCCCAGCCTCAGGCCACACAGGCGCAGCTCCAGGGAGAGGCCTTGGGCCCCCAGGCTGGGCAGGGTCATCTGGTGTCTTGTGAGAGACAGAAAACACGAGTGGCCCCCATCTGGACAAGGCTTCCTTCCCAGTGTCCCCCGTGCCCTCGGTCATCACACATATAGTGGGCTCTGTACTGTGTGTTGCCCTGGCTTGTTCCCATTGTACCCTGAGCCTGTGCATTTCTTACACACTCTATCCCTGGTCACTGGCAAGGAATCAGGTTAAGTAAGCAATGTAAAGTGAGTTTAGTGCTGGAGGGAAATGATAAAGTATCAAGGGCACAAACTCAGGTCAGACCGACCTGGACTGGAAGCCTGGCTTTGCTGCTTACTGTGTATTCACCAAGCCAGTAGTGAGCCTCAGGTCCTCCTCTGCCCACGGAGATAAGGGCAGTACCTATCACAGAGTCGTTAAGACAGTTGAGTGAGGCGTGCATGGAGGGTGCTTAACCATCTGCAGGCAGCGTCTGCTGCATGCTTTATCCATTTGACTTCTACCTATGTATTCAGGAATTTTTACTGAGAAACTATTGTGTGCCTGGGTCTGTGTTGGGCCCTGGAAAGAAGAGCATGACAGCCAAGGTCTTATCCTCAGAAAGTTTACATTCTAGTGAGGGAGAGAAAATAAGCAGGTAAACAAATCAGTAAAGGGCAGATTGTGCTGAGTGCCGTGGAGGAGGTAGAGGAACAGACTTCTTTAGAAAAGAGTCAGCAAGCATAGCACAGTGGCTTACTCCTATAATCCCAGCATTCAGGAGGCTGAGGGAGGAGGACTGAGTTCAAGGCCAGCCTGGACTACAGAGTGAAACCCTGCCTCAAAAATACCAAAAAAAAAAAACAAAAAACTTTAAAGGCAGCAAAGCCAGGTAAGCCTGAGGCCTGAGGAGGAGCCAGCCAGGGGAGAAGCATAATGACCAGAGGGAAGGGCTGATACAGAGGGCCCCAGGTGGCTGGAGAGGGTGAACAGGTGGGGTGAGCCGTCTGAGAGGTTGGCATGGCCACAGAGCCCAGCGGTGCTGGCCTCTGGCCGTGGCCATGAGCTTGGTTCTGTCTGAGGGACAAGGAGCAGACTGTGTATGTAGGGAAGGGAGCGCTGGTGAGAGGAGAGACTGAACAGAATTGTCTGCCTCTCTGAGGACATCAGTGTGTGAAGGAAAGAATATGTGAGAATGTGTCTGTGAGGACGCATGGCTGAGAAGTGCGTATGAGTGACAGGAGGGGATGGTGGCAGATGGATGAGGTGGCTGGTCTCATCTGTGGCTCAGTGTAAGGCTTCTGAACGGCCCTGCAGCTTAGAGCAAGGGACCTTGTTCACTGTTATTTGGGGAGCCCTGCTTGACATCACTGCAGCAGCTACACGCCTGCAGCAATCACAGGGAGCTCTGTTCCTAGGCCACTTGCCTGGACCCTCCTGGTCACCAGGCCTGCTGCTAGAGGATGGGGAGTTGGGGAGGAGCAAGTCGTGGTGTCTGCACTCAGGAGCTGTGGATCTCGGGGCCTGTTGGGCACACACGTCCCACAGTGGTGCCGTTTCACTCCTGGTGCCCTGTGCTGGCCCTGTGCCTCTCCTGGCCCTTTCCTTAGCTTGGGCTGATCACCAGTTACCTCACCAACAGCATGCCCACCCTGGAACGCTTCCCCATCAGCTTCAAGACCTACTTCTCAGGGAACTACTTCCACCACATTGTGCTGGGGGTGAACTTCGGGGGCCGCTATGGCGCCCTGGGCATGAGCCGGCGCGAGGACCTGATGTACAAGCCGCCGGCCTTCCGCACGCTCAGCGAGCTTGTGCTGGACTATGAGGCTGCCTACAGCCGCTGCTGGCACGTGCTGAAGAAGGTGAAGCTGGGCCAGTGCGTATCCCATGACCCGCATAGCGTGGAGCAGATCGAGTGGAAGCACTCGGTCCTGGACGTGGAGCGGCTGGGCCGAGAGGACTTCCGCAAAGAACTGGAGCGCCATGCCCGAGACATGCGGCTCAAGGTCAGGCTCAGCCAACAAGGTCAAAGGGGACTGTCCCTTCCCCTTGTGGTCTCACCCTTCCTGGTCTGTGGTGCAAGGATGGAGGGCGAGGACTTTCAGGGTTTCCCTCAGCAGTCTTACTGTTGAGGTCACCCCTCAGGTGGGCATATCTGGGGCAGCTCCGGAAAGAGGAAGTGGGTCAGCTGGGTTGTCGTGGTGGTGGGTCTTGGGCAGTGGAGAAGGGCTGGTTTATGGTATCCAGATCAGGGGGACTGGAGTAAAGATCAGCTTGTGGGAAATCCTGGCCCATTTTGGGGAAATGGTAGGATGGGGTGGTGAGTAGCCTCCACCACTGCTTCTCTTTTGCATCCTGACTCTAGCCCAATCCCCTGCTTGAAATAAAGCACCAGGCAGAGGTCAGGTGAAGAGGAAAGTTAGACAATGAGGGTAGTGGCTTTTTCTCTTCTCCCTTCTGCCCCCACAGAAGAGCAGATGTCTGGGGATTTAGGGGTTCTATTAGGCTTGAGCTGCCAAGGAGTTGGCCTCCAGACTGTTCCAGCAGGCAGAATTTTGGGCTCCCCCCGGGTCCCTCTGGGCTAAAGGTGCCTCCCCTGGGGCCTTCCAGGGCCTCCTCCCTGCATAGCTCAGGTCTGCTACTCTGTACCCCTCCCCCTCAAGGCAGCCTCAGCACATTCCTGTCCTGTTTCTCTCAACAGCCCCTACAGGCCAGCAGGCAGGTGGTTGTTGGTGGGTCCACTTCCAGGATGGGAAACCCAGAGACTTGCTCACAGGCAGTGAGAGGCAGATGGGACAGAGCTTAGCCTCCTGAGGCTTGTCCTAGGTACCTGTGGTGTCTCAGTAAGTTTTGTAAGAGCTAGGGCTCCCCCCAGCCCTACCAGGCCCTTAGGCCAAGACCTTGTGGGCTGACACTGACTCCTTCAGGGTAGAAATGGGATGTAGCAGACCTGCATTAGCAGAGGGCTCCTCTCTCTTGCTTCTGAGTTGGTTCCATCAGCTCTGGGGTGCCCTGTACCCTGGTTCTTGCTGCTAGTAGTATTGTCTTTACAGTTGCAGGTTGGATCTGGAGTTGGAACCAGCAATTACTTTGTCTTTAGCACTGCAATTTCCAACCCGTTCAGTACTAAGGATTCCCCATGTTGTGTGGACCCCTCAATCTCCATCATGGGCTATTCCATGTTTGGAAAACTCAAGCCATGCTGATCATGCTGCATAAAGGACGATTCATTATTTGTCTCAATCAGATCTCTTATTTTCTCAATCATCTCTCCCAGTCTGACTTCTGATTGGCTCAGATAAGCAGTGCACTCTTGGGGTTGGTAGTATTCTAGCTCAAAGCTCAGACATGGGCCACTTACTCACCTGGCACATGTACCCTGCATGGGTAAATGAGTCTGTTCTCAAAGGTGTTTTACAATCTTAGGACAGCCCACTGATTGTGAGGAACTGCTGTCCTGGCAGCTTTAGTGCCTGGGAAGTAGATTTGGAAAGACTGGGAAAGGGAGAGTATTGCTTGAGGCTTCCTGGCCCTGCCCAGAGCAGCCTCCAAGGACTGGGGGTTCCCAGCAGGGCAGGGCAGGCTGTGGAGCAGCCCTGGAGTATGCTTTCATTCCTTCCACCTCACCTAGATTGGCAAAGGGACTGGCCCTCCCTCTCCCACCAAGGACCGGAAGAAGGATGTTTCCTCCCCACAGCGGGCCCAGTCCAGCCCCCACCGCAGGAACAGTCGCAGTGAAAGACGGTGAGAAATGAGATTGTATGGCAGGGGGTGGGTGGGGGGCTTTCTCCTTTTCTCTTCTTCTTGATGCTTCTCTTCACCCTTCTCTTCTTTCTCTCTTCTTTCTCTCATCCTTCTCTCTTTTGCTTCTCCCGCCAAGGGAAATGGCTTAGAATGGTTGGTGCAGATGTTTATGTGCTGACATTGCCCATAGCATTGCAGTGCCATTTCCCCAAAGCAAACACCCCTTAGCTGGTCCCTTAGCTGGTCTGAGGCAGGCAGCAGAATGGGCTGTGTGGGAACAGGACTGGGAGTACTCCAGCAGTTTCCTGAGGAGGGTTTGAACATGACCTATGGATCTCTGTGGTCAGGGGAAATGACTTTGAACACAGCTTTTGCCACCACATGTCTGTGGGTTATGTCTGTGTCTAGATGACACAAATTGCCATTAAAATACTAGGCCTCCTGCTCTGATTTTGGCTCTTGCTTTAAATATAACTGTCAACTCGGAGCCACCTCTGGTATGAATTCAGGGGTACTGAGCAGACCTCTGGCACCAAAGCCTCCATCACCGTTGACTTTGATCAAGGAGGGTTTTTGTCACAGACCCACCCCCTACCAAGGAGATTTATACCTATCACCTGCCATGGAATTAGTTAACCTCCAGCAAAGAACAAGAGAGCTGGAACCACATTCAGGAACCACAGGGTGGCCAGAAACGCACTTCCACACATCCTCCCCTGCCACCTTGGAGGGCCCCTCGGAGAAGGGCACTGGGAGCCAGTCCAGCAGCTACAACTGTTCCTACCTCCTATATTTCCCTGACGACCACTTCCTCCTCTCTCCCCTGCTCTTCCTGCAGGCCGTCAGGTGAGAAGAAGCCTTCAGAGCCCAAAGCCATGCCAGACCTCAATGGGTACCAGATCCGGGTGTGAGAGTGGATGCCAGCACCTCCAGCCCCCTACTTCTGGAGGCCAGGACTCAACCTGCTGGAACCAGCTGCACTCACACTTTTGGGCAGGGCTCAAGGGAGCACAGGAAGGGTGTGTGGCAGCTCAGCCTCATGCTGCTCCCCTCCCACAGAGCCAAACCCCTAACTTTAGGCCAAGAGGCAGTTAGTATTTTGTTTGGAGTTTTTAGCTCTACCACTGAAGTTTAAGGAGTTTGGGGAAAAAAGACACATGGATGTGCTGGTGGCCAGAAGGGCACTGTTTAGAGACCTGAGAGCCATGGGGCTGAAGGAGGACAGCTTGGTGCTCCTGCCTCAGCGCCTCTCTGGGATTTGAATGTGTCCTATATGGGACATTTCATAGGCCCCTCCAGTCTATGGGAGGGTCTAGGGGGAGGGGGGAGTATTTCTCCTGTTGGGCAGAATGTCCTGGCAAAATCTTGACCCAGGGAAGGGAAGCAGGGTAGGAATCACCCCAACAGAGGTCTGTGTAGGTCTTAATCAGGAGCTTGCTGCAAGGTTCATCTGCTCAAAAGGATGGCTCAGGCCCTGGTAGGCCCATGAGCAGTACCGGGGGAGCCTGTGCTGTAGCCAGGAGGGGACTAGGCTGTAGAAGAGCTGGGAGAGGACCCAGGGTGAGGGGGTCCCTGGCCCCTAACAGATTCTGCTGGCTCATCCCACTCTTGCCTATTGCAGCAGCCCAGGGGCTCCTTACAGAGGGTCTGGGCTTTGCAGAAAACTGGGCAGGAAGGTCAGCATGACTGGGGATTGAGCAGACAGGCCAGTTTGGGAGCTGTGGCTGGGCACAGGACGATGGGGTGAGACACTCAGGCCTGGGTTTCTCCCCTGGCAGTGCCAGGAGTGGGCTCTGCTGCTTCCCCTCCCAGGCCCACCTCTGCCTCAGGCCCACTGCCCTGCTTTAGCAGCCCATTTAGGCCTGGCTGATAGTCTGGCCTGCCATGTTTGGCACTTCGGAGCACTGGCAGGGAGGAGCTTGAACAGATGGAGTCTTTCACATTCTGCCCATCAGGCAAGAGATCCCTGGTGGGGAAGTGAGGATGTGGACAGAGGTTGGCAGGGTTGGGGAAGGGTTCTGGGGATTCAGTTAACAGGGAGGTATAGGGCAAGGGTGCAGTGTGGCCACCAGAGGGACAGAGCCTGAGAACTGGGGATGTAAGTGAGAAAGGATACGGGAGGGGGGCTAGGATCAGGATGCCTTTGGGAGGAGTGAGTTCCCTACAGCATAGAAGGCTACTTGTCAGGAAGTGGGAGAGGATTCAGATTGTAGGAGGGCAGCTAGATGAGGTGGCCATTAGAGTTTTACTTTACAAAGAAGTTGTCAGTCAGTCAGGGCTGCTGTCAGTAAGGCTACAGAGGGACTGGGGTCCTGGATAAAGGACCAGAACTAAGACTGTAAACCCAGATGCCCACAGGACCAGCAGGTGACCAAGAGGCATGTGGCAGGGCTGGGTGGGGACTATGGCATACCCCATTAAAGGGGCTGCCATCTCGCTGTTCTAGGCCCTGTGCCCACAGATTGTCTGGTTTTTCAAAAGCCAGAACTCTGCATCTGTATGTGAAATCTGAGTTTTAAGGGTTGATAATTTGTTTTTTAAAAATGTAAAAACCCAGTATAGGTAAAAGAATGCCAGTTTGCAATCTCTGGTGTGGAGAGCTCATGCTGGGAGGAGTCCACTTCAATGCCGTGTGGTGGCAAATGACTGTTCTGAGCTCCCCGGCTGGGCTGGGCAGTCAAGGGGAGGCCCTGGCAGCTGAGACTCCCTCAGAGTGGCACAGAGATGGTCCAGCTCTCAGCCTACCCTACCAGGAGATAGATGGGCCTGGGAGCAGAGGAAGGAGCAGGGACGCCTTTGCTGATGAGAGTGCTTGCAGGGAAGGCACCGGAGGCTGGCAGCTCCTCAGACCAGCAGCCCTAGGCCCAGAGCCAGGCCCAGCAGGGCCCGCCCAGAGCCGCCCTGGGAGGCCCACGGGTCAGTCCCTTGTCGTAGCAGGTTCGTCAGTGGGCCCTGGGAAGGTTCCTAACCTGCCCTGATGCTACACGCTGGCCAGAACAATTCGAGACATGATGACCCCTGATTCACTGTCCCACCTCACCTTGCGAAGTGGGGATGGCGGTCCCTGTTCCCATGTTAACAGATGGAGAGATGGCCGCCTTCAGAGCTCCTTTCTGGTTCTGGTTGTAGCTACTTATCCACAAGCAAGTGATCCCAGATGCCTCTGGGAACTTCCAGGAAATGACAGGGTATGGGAGGCAGAGATGTGAGAGGGAGCCAGGAGCCAGAATCAGTGGACATGGAGGAAACTGCTCCTGTTCCCAGAGCCCTAGGAACTGCCCTAAGTTCCTGAGCCCATGGGACAGGGAAGCAGAGTGGAGCTCTAACCCTGCTTACTATCTGTGGGAGGGAGCCATCCCTAACTGTAAGCCCCTGGCACTCACCCTTCATGAGCTGAGACTGCCTGTGGAGACCACCACAGGACACAGTGGTGCTTTTTAATTTATTTTTAACTGTTTTGCATATGTAGCAATCCTCCTCCCTTCCTGGGCTGTTTACACAGGCTCTGCTCTCTGGGGCTGGCCTGGCTGCGAGGTATGTGGGGAGGCAGAGAGGCAGGGACTTTGGGGCCTTAGTCACCATTCCTTGGTATCACCTCATCTCACTTCCTGTGAGGGACAGAGGCCTGGCTGGTGTGATCTAGCTCCCCCTGAGGACTACTTTTCTAGCTCCTCTTCCCCTGGGTGGGGGCTGCTGGCTGAGGAGGGGTCAAGGTGAGGCCAGAGAAAGCTGCTTGGTAGAGGTGGCCAGGCAGAGGGTATTGCAGGTCTTCCCAAAGCCTGGCTCCTTGTGCCAAGTGTCAGGGTCAGAATACTGGGAAGCTGGCTCCAGTGAGCCTTCCCCTCCACCTGACTGCCAGTCCTCTCCCTCCATGGCCTCGCCGCATTCACACTCATCCATCATGCCAGCCACCCATCCTTACATCAGCACAGCCAAGTGGAAAGCAGCAGCACCTTGGCCCCTGTGGGCAACGATAAAGCCAAGGGCCAGGGGACCAAAGAGCAGAAAGAGCCCATAAGTTGGCTGTGTCTGATCTCTAGCCCTTTTGTTGTCTCTTGCCCCGCTCCTTCAGGCTTAGGCTTGACTTCTGGCTCTGGGAGTCAGTGTAACTCTAGCTGGTAGAGTGCCCAGAGACCTGTGTGCATGTGCACCTGCCTTTCCTGCCCGGGATGCAGACTGGCTTAGCTACGGCAGCATCGCAGACCTGCCCTCTTCTGCCTTGTGTCCCTGGCCTCGCAATCGGGATGGCCATGCTGCATCCAGCTGCTGAGGTGTAGAGGGCAGGTGTCGTGCTCGGAAGAGGCTGGAGGTCTGCCCGCCAGGTACCACAGCTTCCTACTCACTTCCCCAGGCAGGCAGGACTGTCATGGTGCTAGCTGCAGGGCCCTCAGTGTGACCCTCTCACCCCTACCATGGTGCTCCAGGGTCTCAGGATGCCTTTTTTCAAGTCTGATGAGAGGAGAGACTTGGGTATTCTTGGCCATGGCCTGGTGATGATGGACCCCTCCTCCCAGCTTTGTGTTTGGCTACTGTGTTTCCTGGATGTTGTTCCTGTCCTCCTATCAGTATTTGGCCCTCCCTTTCACTCACACTTTGTTTCATTCCTGTCCTCATTTTTCCCCTGAAATGAATAAAGTCTCTCCTGCTCCAGTTCTGTGGGCGAGACAAAAATCACAACATGAAGCCTTGTCTCCTTTCCCTTGGGAGCTGAGGGCCAAGCCCACCTCACCTCCACAGGTGTCAGCCCCACTGGCTGTTGGGAAGAACCTGAACAGAGGTGAGGGAAGCCTGAAACCTGTGAACATTCAGGATGGAATGTTCTCAGCCTGGCCAGGCCACTCACCTCTCAGCCTACTCTGGGAGCGGATCTCGTTGGGCTGTAATGAGGCCCTTCCACCTCATATATAGTAGGTCTGGGCCCCAAGTCTGCCCCTCGGATATATCTGCAGCCCTGCTCTATGCCTGAACCCACAGGAGTCCATCAAGAACAAATAATGGAGTGTTCTTCCAGCAGATGAGCTTATTTCAGAAAACCATAGCAACAGGGATCTGAAGTCTTCTCATCAGTTCCTAGTCTCCAGCTTTGGGAGACTTTGCACCCACCCACAACCCCTTCTCCACTGTCCCTCTGGCTCTGGATATCTCCCCACATGTTAACAAGCCCAAACAGTTGGAATAAGACTCACACAGGAAATATCACTTAGGCCCTACAACATTTTGCAGCTCTGACCTTTTCTCCCTATGTCTTTGCTCTCTGTTCAGCTTAGGAGCAAAATCCAGACTTGTAAGATTTCCTATTTTTCATCCCAGCCAATGACCACAAAAGCCTGGCTAGGAGTGTTGCACAGCAAGCCTCCCTTGTTTTCGGTAGTGTGGTGGTGACCAGGGGGAAGGCATGCAGCTTGGGGAGGAGGAAAGGCTATCTGTGGGAATCCCTGAATATCTTGACTGTGCCCCATTAAATGGAAGCAGTTTTATCGTAGGCTCATTTAAACCCAGCTAAAAAGATACTCCAAAAAGTCTTCATAAAGGTAACTAGAATTTGTGAATACCTTCGGTTGTACAGCCTTCCACAAAGGGAGCATTGTCATTTACACACTTAAGCCCAGCTAACACAGCAAAGGGCCGAGTGGGCAAGCTTTGATGAGACAGCCTGAACACAGAGGCCCCTGGGAATACTTGTGGGAGGGAGGGCTGGGGCAAGCCTTTGTGTCTCGAGCCCAGTAAGCTCATTGTGGACACTGCTGGGCCACCTCCTCAGAATGCAGAAGTGCCACTGCAGACTGAGGAAGATCAGAACCCAACTTCCTGGGGAGAGTGGGTTGCTTTATTCCCTGCTGCCCTGGTTCTCAGGCAATTTAGGTACATGAATTGGGCATGTAAATTGGGTTGGACTTTTGGATGCAGACAGCATTTCTCAGAGCCCTGAAAGTGAAGAGATTGAAGCTGTACCCACCCCCATCTGGCAGGGCCTGGCATTTTCACTGCTACTGGGAAGGAGTTACACCATAGACTAAGCAGATTGGCCCAGACACGGATTGCCTGGTAATCCTTGAGTTTGCCAGTGGGGCTGTGGGGACCAGCTGCTGAGGCCTGGTAGGTGGTGAAGATGAGGCACCTCAGGTCAGCTGGAGTGCTAGCTCTCGAGTCCAGCCCACAGGACAATGTGCACAAATATATGGATGCTTTCCAATCCTCAGCCAGACAGGATTTGGTCATGGGAAACAAAGCCTCCAAGAATTTAAGTGTGGAGATTTCATTCTGTCCATAGCTAGCTAAGGTCCCAGGCCCTAAGGTCATAGGAACTAACTGGGGCAGAGGGCAGAGTTCCCTTTAAAACATGAAATTCATGTTCTTCCTATCTGGGCCAGCGTGCACCCACCAGGCTGTAACCTAGCTGGCCTCTTGTCTGCAAGTTTAGTTTTGCATGTTTGCTCAGGAGGAGAGGACAGGAGGGGTGCGCCATGGCTTTGGGATCCCAGGGCCTCAGGCAGCTCCCCCTGGTGGAAACTAAAGGAGCTGGGCCCTCCTTCCCTGGGAGGAGAGAGGCCCTACTGTGCATTATGTAAGTGACCAAAAAACCAATCCTCTACTTTGTAGCTACACCAGGGGGGAACTGGAAAGAAAAACCAAAGAAAAAACAGCAGCACCCTAGTTGATCATTTCCCTTCTTGGTCTCCAGCTTAAAGTTTCCTCTAAGGTTCCCTTCCTAGCCCCCTGCTAGATGCATGTCTACCCTGCTGGGTAGCCTGTCTCACCAACTCCCACAAGTGCTGGATTCAGAGATGCTTAGGCTGGCAAGAAATGAAGCAGAGCCAAGATTCTCAGCTTACCATATCTCTAGGATTTTTCCTCAGTGGTAACAGTACGATCTGAAACACTATGCCACTGTCCCCCTGTAGTACGTTCCCCATGTCAGTGAAGTGGAAGTGCTGAGTAAACAGAGAACACAAGTGTTGTGCCCGTGTTAAATGACTGAGGTAACTGGAGTCTTCCATACCAGGAAGGCTACACCCCAAAGCTTGCAGCTTTCAAATACTTCTAGGCCCACCAGCCAAATCCAGCCTGGCTGGGGAGAACTATCTACCCTCTTAACACAGTGGCAAACCTATGGCATATGTGTCACAGCCAGCTGTTCATAATCATTGAAAGCTCTAAAAGGTTTGCCATCACTATCCTAATATCTACTGTAATACTCTGGAATTCTTATCATCCTTTTCTTGATATAGCACAAAGTAGATCTGAAAATTCCTTATATGTAGAAATGAGTACTACTTTAATTTCCATTTCCCCAAAGGATGTAAACTGAAATGCAGAAGGACAAAGTAATTTATCTACAGTCACTAACCAACCCAGATAAGATTATGAGTGGTGTTCCTACTCCCTGGCTAAGTTTTCTTTCTATGAAATCAATGGATCCCAACCCAGCCAGTACATCAGAAACACCAGAAGGCTTTACTATAACTCAGACTCCCAAAGAACGATTCAAAGGTCAAGTATAGAGTCTAAGAATCTGTTCAGGTAAGGCAGAAAACTACACCTGGTTTCATTTGACCTTGCCTGAGTTTACTGCACAGGGAGGCTGGAGAAAGACAAAAGTACCAGTAGAGGTGGGCCCAGCAAGGAAGAGAAATGTTCCAGTGTCAGATGGCCCATAGCTCAGCCCTGGCTCTAGAATGCAAGAGATGATCAGAAATAGACACTCAACCAGAGGCAGCTCCCATAGCTTTGACCAGGGAAACACACACCTTACCCCACTTTCCAAACAGACCTCCTAAGATGTGGTATGGGCCATGGGGAGCACAGGGGCAGCAGATGGAATGAGAACAAAAGCAACCAAGTTACAGCCATTCTCCTCTCAATGTGGTATGCTTGGAGAAGGGAGTGGTACCCCAGGAAAGTCAGGGCAGGAGGCTTCACTCACGTCCTGTTCATCCCAGGCCTTAGAGCAGTGGGAAGTTAACAGAGGCAGATTACAGTAGATTTAGATCTTGAAACCCCACCCCAAAGTCTAAAGCTCCTCAGTTCTGCCTCTCTGCCCACCTCATCCTCCAGGCCTCTCTCATGACCCCAGCCCCTTCGAGGTCCTAATGAAAAGACCAACAATGAGGAGGAAAGGTAAACCTTTATTTGGAAAAAGTTGCCCTAGTTCTGGAGACTGCAGAGTGCAGCTTAAATGACCATTTAAAACCCCTATTTCATTTCTAAAACAGAAACAGATAAAACAAGGAAAAATCAAGCTCTGGTCCCTGCCATCTTTGGCTGTTTTTCACCCTGCATTCATGGCAGAGGACACCAGTGGTATGCCCTTGTCCTAGGGACCAACACAGCATTGTCTTGAGGCCATCTCCCGATGTGCCCAAGGACAGAGAGTGAACAATAGGGTACGGTCTGATAGGCCTGGGGCTCAGGCAGCCACATGTAAGGACCCAGGAAACAAAGCTGAAAAAAATAGACACACACAGGAAAAAGAAATCCCCCAAAACCTAGGCATGAAAAGCTTACAACCAGGAATGACAATTCAAGTTGGGTCTTTGGCTTTCAAAAAAAGGAAAGAACATTAACCTCTAGCCCACAGTCCCTAACTTCAGCCTCCTACCCATCCCCTTCAGTCTCATCTGAGGGCTGAAGAGCAAGGCAAACTGACAAGGGCCAGCAGCTACTCTGAGTTAAGGGAAATGAGGGGAGGCACTGGCCCAGGAGCAGCAGAGAGTAAGGCATGCAAGTGTCATGGTATGGGCAAGGGAGTCACTGAGGGGGCCAGGGTACCATGTGAGGAGGGAAAACAGAGACAAGAAGCACCAAGGCCCTGCTGCACAGAGCAAGTTCTCAAGCACTGCCACCCCCAGTTCTTGTACTAGGTTTTGCCCAAAGCCACCATTCTGCTGAGACAGTGTGGCATGAGCTAAACAGCAAGATTCTCTGTAGAGAAAATGGGAAGGCTCGGGGGAGGCAGGAGATGGCAAAAAGTAAAACGTGGTTGGAGGAAGGAACAGAAAACTGCTTCTTAGGTGTGCAGAGGAAAGACAGCAAGCCCCTTCGTTTCTCAGTCCTAGCTGAGGTAGCTGCAGAGCCTATCTGCTCTTTCTTACCAGGACTCCACCTTACTCAGTGCTGCAGAGCCCAGCGAGAGAAGTTTCTTGAGGTTCTTTCTCCTTACCCTTAAAGTTTTAAACTCTACACCACTGACCCAGCCCACTGAATGTGACACAAGGCTTCAGACTTCTGCCTGCCTCAGAGCAGCCTGGGGAAAGGGATGATCCCTAGAGAAAGCATATCAGGACTGTGAGGAGCTCTGGGGTAGAGCCAAGAGCCCACCAGGCAGGTAGTGCACCCCCAGTCTGGTCTCCAGGCTGCTGGGCCCATTCATTCCCAGAATCCAAACAATAAGTGTGCCCCCACTGGCAGGATGAATGTCTAATGGAACTCAAAGGATAAAGGAAAAGGGCTCCTACCCTGTTACCACCTGGCAGCACAGGGCCCCAAGGTCATGCTCTAAACCTGTCCTAGGCCCATGGCCCCAGTGTGGAAGGTGGTGGGCAGCCCCAGCCCAAGAGGATGCATAGTTTGTGTGCGTGCCTAGCAAGAGAGCTGGGCCCAGAGGTCATGAAGGGCGGGTAAGGTTGGGTCAGAAGGTACCCCCAAAGAAACAGCCTGAAAGCAAATAACCATAAGCTCAAAAGCTCCCAAATTCTGGTAATTAAAAGTTAAGGGGGAGCACTGGGTACATGAAGGGAAGAGGGAACCCCCTTCTGCCTCTTCCAGGGCCACTGAGTATGTGGCACAGGATCAGGGAGAGGCTGGGGCAGGACAGGGACCAGAAGCGAGAACATGGACAGGCCGGAGAGAGTAAGGGGAGGGACATGAGTTTCCACAGCATAGGGCATTTCCATAGTCACTGATCCAGTGAGATCTTCCAGTAGAGGAGCTCTCTCCCCTGGGCTGTCACGGGGCGGTAACTTCCATGCTGAAGCTGGCTAGCAGGCAGAGATGGTCTGAAGAGCAGAAGGGATTAGGCAAGCCATTGGCAGCCCAGAGAATCTCTTCAGAGAGGAGGGAGAGGCGGCCCAGCAGCTTGAGAGTTCCTTCTCGAACCAGCCTGTCATCTGGGCACAAAGCAGAAGCCAATGGGCAGAAGAGGCCCTGGGCCACACTGCCCAGCAGGCAAGGCAGGCCCTCTGGGAACCGTGCCTTCCGTACCCCACACCCCCTTGGCTGCCCCACCCAGCCCACCTCCTCATGCATGTCCTCAGAAACCCCCTGAGAATATCGATGAGTGGTAAACTGTTGTTGTGACTGCTGGTATGGGATGAAGAGAGAGGAAACAAGATGTTTAACCTTACAAATCCACTGACTGGCTGCCCCTGAACAAATCTAATCACCTCCTGGGGCTCTATTCTTTCCTCTGAAACAAGGATGGAGAGTGACTGCCCCACCCACCTCTCTCTGATGTTTCAAGGATAAAAAGAGAAGGCAGGCAGTGGCCCATGGGGAGAATAATAAGGACAACCAGACCCAGGTCAGGTCCTGGGACCCTGGGCCACACCACTGAATGCCTCACCTACTATCAGCTAGTCCCAGGAACCGGGATCCACCAAGCTTACCAGTTCTGTTCCCATTCTCACAGGACTCAGCTGAGAAAAAGATGTAATCCACTGTCATTCCAAGACCTAAGGGCATTGTGGTGACCTCTGGGCAGCCATGCTGGGGCAGGAAATGGGTATATACTGATGTCAGGTGGAGGCAGTGCTGGATGGTACCTATAGTCCTACAGGGATGGAGGGGGAGGTATCGATTGACAAAACTTATTATATTTTCCCCTAGTCACCTTTTCTATGAGTTTTATTGTGTTGGTTTTTTTTTATGGGATGCTCCCAAATGATTCAGTCTCAGCAAATTTTTTCCTTGTTGATAAGACACTGGAAGTCTTAGCTGAAATCAGACTAGCAACAGACACACTGCTCCTGTGACCCCTGACGCCGCTCATCACCATTCTCCAATGTGCCCACCTGTGGGCCAGCAAGCTTTCTGTGAGGCTGTACCCTCTACCCCACAAGGAAGAAGTAAATGGGCTTCCTGTCTGCAAAACAAGGATGTGTCATCTCTGGCGCCTCTGCATACCTGTATGCCCCTTATAAACTTCAGTTATAAAAGTGCTCCCCAGGGCCAGGGATTTAGCTCAGTGGTTCTGCCGCCCGCCTTCCAAGCACAAGGTCCCAAGTTCGATCTGTGGTGCCAAAAAAAACTGCTCCCCAAATCAGCCTCGGAACAACCAAAGAAAATCAATCCCCGCCCCGCCAAAAAAAATGAAGACTGGAGAGAACTGGAGAAAAGTTTACCTGGGAAAGACAGGCTCAGGCTCAGATGTGTCCTCCTCAAGGACAGACTCACACCAACCAGCAGGTCGTTCTATAGAAGACCGGAGAAAAACAGTTTTTATTATCCACAGACCATGAAACAGTATCAGAACCTCTCACCTCCAAACTTTCTCAGATTCTTAACTAGACTGGTTCAGAAGGATCTACAACAGGAAAGAGAAAGAGTAACTAGAGGAAGAAAATAATAAGCCAAAGTCAAGAACCTCAGGCCTTGAGCTGGGCATGGTGGTGCACACCTGTAATCCTAGCATTTGGGAGGCTCAGGCAAGATGGCCACAAGTTTAAGGCCAGCCTGGACTACACGGTGAGTCCTAGGCCAGCCTGGAATACACAGCAAGACCCTGCCTTTAAAAAAAAAAGCCTCAGCCCTCTAACATAGACATGGTCTTCCTTGGGTCAGCACTTTTTAAAAATGTTTTAAAAGAATAAGTCACATAATACAAAAATCAAAATGTGGGGAAAAAAATCAGTGAAGTTTCTCTCCCACAAACCCCTGGCTTGCCATTCAATTCCTCTCTCTAGAGGTAACCAATGTTACCAAATTTTTGGTGTATTCTATCACACGCCATCTATTGTGTTTGTATATAGTGTAATCAAAAAATAGTGTTCGAATATAAGAAATTTATTGCAGTAAAAGACACACTGCAATTAATCCTCCTCAAAATATTCCCACTTGCTTCAGACACATTTATCTCATCATTCTTGCCACTTTATGAAGCACTTCTGGAAGTCCACTTTCATGAGTGTCTTTAGTTGCACTGTCATGGCTGCCTTGATGTGCTGAACTGATTCAAAATGTTTACCTTTCACAGTTATTTTGCCTTTGGGGAAGAGCCAGAAACTGCACAGTGTCAGAACTACCAAACAAGAAGGGTGAGGACACACCACAATATTTTTACAGGCCTTCCTTTCCTCTGGGTGGCACTTGGCAGTAGCATTCGCTGTATTTTTTATTACATCTTATAAAGACATGAAAGAAAACTTGCAGAACTGCTTCACAAAGTGGCAAGAATGATGGGACGACTGTGTTCAAAGTGAGGAGGAGTATTCTGAGGGGGTTAATGGCAATGTGTTTTTTGTTGTTTTATTTTTTTTGGTACCAGGGATCGAACTCGGGTGCTTGCACTTGCACAGTAGGTGGCGGAACCACTGAGCTAAATCCCCAGCCGGCAATGTGTTTTTTATTGAATAAATTTTTGAAAACTTTCACCATATTTTTTAGTCATCCTTTGTATATATCTGCCTATAGATGTAGATATAGATAGATAGACAGATAGATAGATAGGTATAAAACAAAATTACCAGCATCAGGAAAGAAAGAAGTTTCATTAGTACAGACCCTACTGACATTAATAGGATAACAAAGATAATCCTTTAGCTGGATAGACCAAGAAAAAAATAACACCCAAATTAGTACAATCAGGCATGAAAGAGGGGCCATCACTATCAACCATACGTCAGGAAAAAAGACTACAAGCAAATATTATAAACAACTGTATACAAATAAATTACATCACTTAGATAAAATGGACAAACTCCTAGAGAGATACAAACTACATAAACTGATTCAAGAAACAGAAAATCTGATTAGGCTGAGTCCCTGCACTCTGGGAGACTGAGGCAGAAGATCTTCAGTATGAGCCCAGCCTTGAAAATTAGCAACTTCACAGAACTCTGTCTCAAAATGAAAAAAAAAGAGCTAGAGATGTAGCTCAGTGCAAAGGGCCTGGGTTCAATTCCCAATGTGGGGGGGGGGGGTGCAAACAAAAAGTCCAGGGTTAGATGGCTTCACTGCTGAATTCTATCAAACGTTTAAAGAAGAGTTCATCTTTCACAAAACCTAAGAGGAAGAGACATTTCCTAAATCATTCTATGAGGTCAATATTACTCTCATATTAAAACTAGATAAATATATCACAAAGCAAACTACAGGTCAATATCCCATGTGAATATAGATACAAAATTCCTCAATAAAACACTAGCAAGTCAATTCCAAGAAAACACAAAAATGATTATATACTTTGACCATACAGGACTTATCCCAAGAATATAAGGTTAACTATGTAATACATCAAATTAAGTCACTATTTAAGGACAAAAACCATATGATTATCTCAATAGATACCAGGGAAGACATTTGACAAAAGCCTCTGATGAATAAAAAAAAGAACTCAAAAAACTAAGAATAGAACGTCTTCAATTTTTATAATGAAAGAAATTTACAAAAAATCCATAGCTAATATCATAATGGTGAAAGACTAGAAGCTTTACACCTAAAATCAGAGATAAGACAAGGATGTCACTAATTCTAGTCAACACTATAGAAAAAAGTTCTAGTTGGGTAATTAGAAGAAATATAAGACATCCACACTGGAATAAAATAATACTATTTCTAATTGCAAGATGACCTGATCTTATATATAGAAAATCCAAAGAAATTCACTAAAAACTATTAGGATAAATCAAGATTATAGTACACAAAATCGATATCAAAAAATCTTATCTCTATACACCAGCTTTGAACAATCCAAAAAAGAAATTAAGAAAATGATTTATAACAGCATCAAAAAGAAAATATAAATAATTATAAATATAAATAAAATATTAAAATAAACAAAAATCATGTTAATACTAGTACAGTGAAAATTATAAAACATAAGAATTTAAGATCTAAATAAATAAAAAGATATCCTGTTCACTGATCATAAGACAAGACTATTAAAATAGCACTACCTCCCAAATTAAGATTTATAGATCCCTACAAAATTCAAACTGGTTTTGATCATAAAATTCATATGGAAATTCAAGGGGCCAATAACAGTCAAAATAATCTTGAAAAACAATAAAGAGGATTTACCTTTCCATGGTTTGAAAAACTATAATGTATACGGACAGGCATAAAGATGAATAGAACAAAATTGAGAGTCCGGAAACCCATACATCTATGGGAAGGTGACTGCTAATGGGTATAACTTCTTTTCTGAATGAAGAAAATGTCAAAATTATAGTGATGGTTATACAATTTTGAGAATGCTAAGAGCCACTAAACCACACACTTTAAATAGATGGATTTTATAATATGTGCATCTCATCCCAATAAGCTGCCTTAAATAAAAGAGTAAAGGAATGTCATGAACAACTTCGTGCCAATAAATTTGATAATTTAGATAAGGTAAAATATTCCTTTATGTACCTTACATTTTTCCTGTTAAATTTCTGTATTTTTCTTTTTGTTGCTATTGAAAGTAGATTATTTTTATTATCTCCTAACAAATCCAAATTTTTATATATGAATACTACTTATTTCTACATATTAACTCTGCATCTAGCTACTTTCCTGAATTACCTTAGTGCTAATGCTGTTTTTAGTTGGTTCTCTTGGATCACCAGTTAAATAAAAATATCATCAGAAAGTAAAATCTACAGTTTTACACTTTTATTTTCTTTTTTAAGGATTTTTAAAAACAGTCTCAATATGTTGCCTAGGCTGGTATTCTGGGCTCAAATGATTCTCTCATGCCAGCCTTTCAAGTAGCTGGGACTACAGGAACTGGCTACCATGCCCAGCTACACTTCTGTTTTTTTATATTTCTATTTTCTACTTCTAATTCTGTTGGCTGGTATCTCCAAAGACACGATAGTTGATGTCCTTGTCATGTTCTAATTTAAACAGGAATTCTACTAGAGCTTCTTTAAGTAAGATGCTGATTTTTGGAGCTGAGATAAATATATCAACAGTGTGGAGAATCATCCATTGTTTTTTTTGGTTTTTTGGGTTTTTTTGATACCGGCGATCGAACTCGGGTCCTTGTGCTTGCGAGGCAGGCGGTGGAACCACTGAGCTAAATCCCTGGCCCATCCATTGTTTCTTTAATGTGGGTTCCTTTTTTAAAAAATCTATAATAGTTGGAAATTTTTTACCAATTATTCTATGTAATTTTATAAAATTGTCTAGAATTTTCTATAAAAACTTTAAACTGTATTCCATAAATATACAGTATTTTAATTATTATTTGATATTCTAGTTTCATTTTAGTTTTTTTCTTTGACCTAAAATAAATGTCTAGATGATAATGTATTCTAAGGTGTTTCTAATTTCTATTTTTACTACATCTGCTCTGTTGTCTAATATAGGGTTGATTCTAAAGAATTTCCCAATGACCTATTTTTAAAATAGCCTTTCTTCTTTCAATGTTCAGATTGATATGCAACAACCAGAGTCACCATACATTACTTAGGTCTTCTGTATTCATAGTTGTCTTTTATCTATTTGATATGTTGCAGACTGAGAAAGATGAATTAACCCCTTTATAATCATTTATTTTCCATTTCTCCTTGTTGTAGCCTATACAATCACTTTGTGATTGTTGATGTGATATTATTTGGAGCATCAATATTAATAACATGAATACTTTCATTTTGAGTTCCATCCTTTACAGCTGCATCTTTCCTAGCTCCAGATCTGTGAAAACTCTCAGGGGCTAGCAGGATCTTAAGGATGGTTTCCCTCAGCACCAGGTTCTCCCCATGCATGGAGCACTGCATACAAACAGCACTGTTCTAACCATTACACTGCCACCTGTCTCTCCAGGTCATAGGAAGTACAGCTACGTCTACAGGAGCTGCAACATCTTCAGGGCCCATTCAGCACTGCTAGCAGCCAAACAAACAGGTTCTTCTGTAAGTACTTGACTGGGAAGAGGATCCTAAGCTATAACACACATGGGCCAGTGGAAAAGCTGGATTCAGAACTTTCCTGCTTAGAAAGCTGACCACATAGTTATTTTCTGTGTAACCTTCTCGACAGTTTGCTAACTAGTGATTTACAAAAGTCATCCCGTAGCAATTGTTTTTTCTACAGTGCATTAAATTGGACATGGGGTTTGCTTTTACTAAAAGATCCACAGCCCCAGGATTTGGTGTAAACATCCAAATGGTCATGAGAAAGAAAATAGTGACTCCTTTTAGTGTTTGCTACAGTGTGAATGTCTGTATTCTCCACAAACTCCTATGTTGAAATCCTAATCCCCAAAAGTGGTGGTATGAGGAGATGGCACCTTTGGGAGGTGATTAGGTCAGGAGCATGAAGCACTCTTGAACGGGATTAGGGTCCTTATAAAAGATCTCCAAGATGGGCCAGGGATTTAGCTCAGTGGTTCCACCACTTGCCTTGCAAGCATAAGGACCAGAGTTCGATCCCCAGTACCAAAAAAAAAAAAATATCTCCAAAAGAGACTCCTTGTCCCTTCCAACATATCAAAACAATGAGAAGATGCCACCTATGAACTGGGAAGTGGGCCCTCCTCAGACACTTCTGGCAGTGCTTTGATCTTGGACTTCCTAGCCTCCAAAACTGTGAGAAATACATTTTTGTTGTTTAAAAACCACCCAGTTAATGGTATTTTATTACAGCAGCCTAAATGAACTATGGAAGTGTATTTAAGAACCATATTAGGAAAAAAAATAATTAATAACTGAAGATTTTAACAAGAAAGGGACTTAATTTAAATATCTTACATATGAACTGCTCTGTCAAAAGGGAACTGGAAGAGTGAGAACACGTGTTTTATGTTATACAGGGAGGGTGATGTAGAAGGCTCCAGCCCAATGGAGCATGAGTGTAGAGAAAAATGAACTGTCACCGTCTAGTACTGCATCTCCCTTTGCACTCAGAGGTTCTCCATTAAAGTTACTGTTGCCGAGGATTTAGCTCAGTGGTTCTGCCGCCTGCCTCACAAGCGCAAGGACCCAAGTTCGATCCCCAGTACCAAAAAATAAAATAAAATAAAATAAAGTTACTGTCACAGTCAAGTTGGCAGTTAGTTTGTGTAACCTCGGTATTGAACTGGAAATAGTATTTGTTAGCATATCTAAGCAGATCCTCTAAGGGAAAAAGAACTCACATACAGTACTCTGGTCTCCTTGTACTGCACTTAAATCTTTCCATACCTAAAAATGGCGACAGATTTTTAAATTTGAAGTCTTTAAAAGAGATTCATCAGTGGCCTGCTTGGCCCTGGATTGGACACTAAACAAATAGAAGGATGCATTCACAACATATGCATTCACCCAAATTTGATCACAATTGTGAAAACACTACTGTCATTTTGCACTGTTCTTGAACTGGGTATTCCCCACCACCACCATAATTCTTTTCTACTTACAAAGTGATTGTCAGTATATACTTAAATTGTCTTTGGTTTAATTTCATTTATTATTAAGTTTAAATGCATCATTCAAATAAAGCAATGTTTTTTTCATCAACCTATTCTTAATATAGAATTTCCTATGTGGATTTCTGTAATTCTTTAGCTCTAGGATTTTATAATCTTCAAACACCGCCCCACTGTTCTCCTGGCTGAGTCTGACTGATATAAGTATTTATCTCAGTTTCTGGCACATGCTAGTAGCTCAATACATGGCAGCAATTATTACTCCTTGTGCACAGCTGTGATAATACTGAAGCTATGCAATTTTTTAAAATGAGCCACTGAAATGTTTACTGCTCTGTGCAAAATGTCAACTGAAATTAAATCCTTGTAAGACAAACATAAATTCACCACTTACTACCAGGCCTTTTATTATTATATCCTAGCCATTGTTTGATTGCCTTTATTCCTCTACTAGTTTCTATCAAAAGAGCTATTAGTTAGGTATAAAATCTTAAGGTATTCCTTTTTTCCTTGACACTTTGGTTCAGCTTCTAGAGTTGAATATCAAGATAAGAAGTCTGAAGCCAATCTGATTACAATTATGCTTTAAAAGTAGCACAGTATTTTGGTTCAACTCCCCAAAGGATATTTTGTCTTTGATTTGTTGTAGCTTCACTAGGAAGTGTTAGTGTTGATTCTCCCTGCAACATTTTTACTTAAACATGTTATGTTCTCTCAATCTGAAGATTCAGATCTTTTCATTTTAGGGAAATCTAGAAAAATATTTCTCTGTGTCATTATGTTGGTTTTCTTCTTTGTGAACTCCAATTATGTGCATGTTGAATCTCCTTTTAACTTTCATGCTGTCATTTTCTTTCTAGTTCTTTTTATGCTTTTACTTTCTTTTAATTTTTATTTTGCTGGTTTTGTTCTGATTTCCTGGCCTCTGTCTCATTTTTAGCAGTATCTATTCTACCTTGTGCCTCTTTTTTTTTTTTTTTTTGGTACCGGAGATCGAACTCAGGTCCTTGTGCTTGCACAGCAGGCGGTGAAACCACTGAGCTAAATCCCCACCCCCTCTACCTTGTGCCTCCTTAAGTATGTCTTCAATCTTGTTTGTGTGTTTGTTTGCTGTAGTACAAGGGATTGAACCAGGAAGCGCTGAACACCAGGCCCTTTTTTTTGTTTTGTTTTATTTCTAAAAAGGTCTTGCTAAATTTCGCAGGGTAGCCTCAATATGCAATTCTTGTGTCTCAGGTTCCTGAGTAGCTGGGATTATAAGTATGTGCTACTATACTTTTTTTTGTTTTTTGGTACCAGGGATCGAACTTGGGACCTTGTGCTTGCGAGGCAGGCACTGGAACCACTGAGCTAAATCCCCGGCCCTGCTACTATACTTTTATTCCCCTTCTTTTCTGAACTTCACATATTATATTTCATCTTCTGATGTCTTGCCATGTGCATTACTGATTTTATAAAGGTAGTTACCTCATTTTTATATTCTTCTTTTATAAAAGCAATTTGTTTTTCATCTATGAGAAAATAATCATAATTTCCACACGCTCTATGGCAACAATTTTTATCTCTTCCTTCTCCTCCTCCTTCCTCTTCTCTCTTCCCTCTTCCTCTTCCTCCTCTTCTAATTCTTTATGTGCCTCCTCCACTCCTCCTTCTTTTTCTAATATAGATACCATAATGGGCAACCACCTTTGAATTAGCTGAGGTTTTTCTGTATTAACTATTTGTAAGAAATTTATATAAAAGGACTGGGCATACACTCCAAATAACAGAAATTTCCTTATGATACAGGATTGTGTGTTGGAAACTGAATCTTTACTTCTACCAAAACAGATACCCAGGTCTATACATATCTCCCTATCTACCACTGGAACAAACTGCTTAATGCAAATATGTTTGTCTTTGGTCAGTCCTTCCTCCACTGCCTCTTAGAATCAAAATAGTCCAGAGAGACTTTCCTATTACAACCCATGCATTCCACTATTGTTGAAAAAACAAGGGATTTTGATTTTGTGCTTCATGGTATACTCCCCAGCTTGGGGAAAAGTAGTCTGATGATTCTGTCTGAGCCTCACACAGCCCCCCACATAAGTTTGTTCATACTTTCTCCAGAGCCAGGCACACTGTCCAGAGCTTCTTGTAGCAATCCATCTATGCTATGGCTGACAGTCTGAGACCTTCAGATCCCCTATTTTTGTCAAAGATGGAGTTTATATTTCTTTTTTTCATCCTCCTCTGAGTTGGTTTCAGAGATAGGAAAGGAAGAATATCAAGAATACTCTGCAACATTCCACCTGAAAATTCTCCATAGAAGCAACTTTTTATTATGATGAGGTCCACTGTCACCTTATGACTTTTGAAGCACTATAAGTATATCTTCTCCTCTACAAATCCTGTATAAACGCTAATTACTAGCAACCTAAGCCTAAAAATGTTAAGTGCCTTACTCAAGGTCAGAACTGGTGAGAACCCAGGTCTCTTGATTTCCAGTCCAGTGTTCTTACCACACTACACATCCATGATTACATAGGTCACAGAACTCAATTCACCTTCCTTCTTGTATGCTAAATGAGGCTGATCTCTAAGAATTATATTTAGAAAAGACTAAGAAACCGCAGAACCAATAATGTCAGGGGTAAGGAAGAAAAAGGATCAAGAAAACAAGCTCTCTTGTTACCTGGTTTAGTGTCTGTCACTCCTTCCATGAGAACCAATCCTACTGGTTGGTGACAAGCGATGCTGCAGAAGCGGAAACGTAGCAGGAAGTCTCGGCTATACTTACGTCTCTCTGTAAACCAGAAAAGCCAATGAAAGAAAGAAAAAGGAGCCACATGCTAAGATCTTCTGTCTGGTTTTGAAGACAGGAGATTTTTCCAAAAGCTATGATTTAAAATTGTCATTTCTTTGGGTGGCCATATAGAAGACAGTGAGAAAAACAAAGGAACTTGCTAAGAGAATTAAAGAGATTACACTTTCTCTTGTCATTGAGGAGCAAGCTTTCTCCCAAAAATGGGCATGAAGACACAGCCAACCAACAGTGTGCCATGTTCTTACCTGATCTCTCAGGGTGACAGGAGGTAACATACTGACAGCAATCATTGATACCCAGGGAGCTGGGCCACAGTGGGGCCTGCAACTTCCGCTGGTAAAGCTGATGGGAGAAGTCTTCCTGACCAGATACCTACAAGGAATGGGTAGGGTGGGAATAAGGAAAATGAAATAGAAAAAGCAAATAACAGCCCATGTTTTGGGACATATGGACAAATACAAATACATACAATCATACACTATATACACAGTATAAGCAAGCCACATAAGTCTCAAGGGAAGGTTAAAAATAAGGAGTTAGTTAAAAACATTCAGTTTTCATAAAAATACTGAAATGTCCATGAAACAGGAAGGATAAGTGAGAGAGTAAGGTATGAGTCAAAGAGAATAGAACTATAGGAACATATGGTCCTACGTTTTGCCTCAGAAAAATATGCACAATTCTCCACAGGGAATACCAACTCTCAAGGGCTTCAACTAGCAACAGGAAGAGGTTTATCCTGATCTTTCCATCTTTTGGACCAAGGTCTAATATCATGAGCCTACTATTAAGAAACTATAGGACAGGGCCGGGGATTTAGCTCAGTGGTTCCAGAACCTGCCTCGAAAGCACAAGGTCCCAAGTTCGATCCCCAGTACCAAACAACAAATTAAAAAAAAAAAAAAAAAGAAAAAGAAACCATAGGATCAAAGCAAACAGGAAATGCACCAAAGCACTTTACTGTAACTATGTCACCATCCTTGGTCAAAGCCAATGAGCGGCCTGGAAATGGACAGAACATAGTAGGGGAAACAGCTGACAGTATCAGTCATCTGCATATCTCCAATGTGGTAGCAAAATTCCCTTTATTTCATTTAACAACAACAAATATTTGAATGCCATATCAGTGAATACTATATCAGTGCTGAGGACAGAGTAGTGACAGACATACTCCCTCTACCCTTAAAGGGCATAAGCTTTCAATATGTCATCTGAAATAAATTTAATGACTATTTAATAGCTGTATACAGTTTTTAAAAATTTTTTTAAACCCTTAACAATCACTACCAATTACTGACTGCTTCATTTGAACCAGGTACTAGAAAACATTTTATGTTGGGAGCAATGCTACATAATTCTAGGGATAAATCATTTGGTTAGCCTAGTTCTCGTGCCTACAGCCCAGCTACAGAATAACTCCAGTTTGGCCTCTGGTCACAACTGAGACTTCAGTGATCCAGTGATGCTGTGATTCTCCAGGACAAGAAATATCCTGGGAGAACAAACATCTGCTCAGTTCCTCATTGTTCTTGGACTGATTAACATCTTGTTTGCTGGAGATGTACTGAACTCTCTGCAAGCCTTCCGTTACACCTTGTTTATCCCAATGTGAACTATTGAACTCTCTGCAAGTCATTTGTTACATTTGTTTCTCCCGATGTATTGAATACAAAGTGTGGTAAGCTGGGGGCTTTGTCTTTGCTGCCCAGAGCAGCACTGATCAGACCCAAAGCTCAGCTTCTTCTCAGTCTCATTTTTCTACCTTTCCTGTAATTCGCCGTGTGCTGCCGTGGCTCGCAGGAGACCAGGACTAACTGCAGAGATTCTGGTAACGTCCCCTTCCCCTGTCCCCTACAATTTTATATGTATTTATTTAATATATCAAAACAACAGCAACAACAAAAAAATCTGATGTTAAGTCCCATTACTTCCCCAATCTACAGAAGAAGTAAACAGGGCCTAAGAAAGTTAAATAGTGGAGGCACACACCTGTAATACTAGCACTCTGGGAGGCTGAGGCAAGAAGATTGTAAGTTTGAGCCCAGCCTAGGTGACTTAGCAAGACACTGTTTCAAAATAAAAATAATAAAAGGGGTAGGGGATTAGCTCCACGCAAAAGCCCTGGGTTCAACCACTAGTACTGCAAAAAATAAGGGCTGCGGATGTAGCTCAGTACACAGGTCCTGGGTTCAATTCCTGGTACCACCACCAAAAAAAAGGAAGGCAGGAAGGGAGGGAGGGAGCAAGCTAGCTTGTTCAAGATGGCAGAATGGGGATTTGAACCCAGGACTGTCTGGCTTCAAGGTAAATTGTCTCATCCACTATTCCTAACAGTGCCTCCCATGTTGACAGGCTCTTGGGAAATTCTTTCTGTTGTTTTTTTGCTTTTTGTTTTTTTGGTCCTGGGGAATGAACTCAGGACCTTGGGCTTTCAAGGCAGGTGGCAGCACCACTGAGCTAAATCCCTGGCCCCCGGGACATTCTTTTTCCTGTTCCAGGAGCAACTTGATTGCAGTTCCTTTAGAGCAAGATAACACCCTATTCTAGGCAATTAGGATGGTGTTAGTACTTGAATGCCCTCATTAAAACAGAAGCTCAAGGGCCAGGTGGTTTCACCACCTGCTGCGCAAGCGCAAGGACCCGAGTTCCATCCCCTATACCAAAAAACACCAACAAAAAAAACCCCCCAGAAGCTCAATAATAATTCAATTATTTCTGTTCTTTCTCCACTGTGCTGTGCCAAAAGCTAAGTTAGATGAGTAGGGGGACAACAGAGAAACAAAGACTGAGTGACAAAGAAATCAGCACAAGCTGCTAAAACTATGAGCTATCTACGCTATCAATATTCAGCAGTTAAAAGGAATTAGGTCTATATGCAAATTCTTGAATGTAGAAAAACAAGCTACAAATGAAACACATAGTACTATATCATGTTTATAAAATACATATGATAATTATATATCAGCTGTGGGGCCAGACCACCTGGTTACAAAACCTGACCTCACCACTAACTACCTGTATAAGCTAAAGCAAATTATTTGACTTCTCTGTGCCTCAGTTTCCTCATTTATAAAATGGAAGCAATGACAGAAATAGTGACAATTAATGAGTTAATACATGTAAAGTGCTTAAAATAGCACCTGGCACACAGTAAGTGCTTAATAAATGTAAACTGTGATATAGTATCACAGGGACATAGATATCACTACAAATGCACAGAAAACAGTATGGAGGAATGCCACCAAGCTTAGACTAGTCACTACCGTAAGTACCCGATTTACGAACATTTGCGTGGCAAACTTTCACAGGTGTACTGTATAAGATTCACAAGGGTACTATATAAGACTTTGTCAGATTATAAACAAATCTGATTTACAAACATTCTCCCGGAATGGAACTTATTCACAAGTTGGGAACTTACTATACTTGACTTGAGTAGAGGGTAGAGAATTTAGGTAATAAAGTGGGCATTTGCATTTTTTTTTTCTGGTACCAGGGATCAAACTCAGGACCTTGTACTTGCAAGGCAGGCACAGTGCCACTGAGCTAAATCCCCGGTCCAGCATTTGCCTTATTTTGTTTGAGTTCTTGCAAAGATCCATGTATTATATGTAAATTAAATATAAATTAATGATAAAAATTGAAGGTTTTTAATATGTCAATGTTACTCCTGAATTCCTAACTTCTGGGCTTGGGCACAAGCTATGCAACATAAGAAAATGCAGGGGGAGGTCCCATTCGACCCAGCTATCCTCCTGCTGGTTGTTTTCACAAAAGAATTAAAAGAATCTTACCACAGCAATATATGTGCACCCATGTTTATAGCGGCACAGTTCGTAATAGCAAAAGCTTGGAAACAGCCCACGTGCCCATCAACTGGAGACTGGATAAAGAAGATGTGGCTTTTTTATAAAATGGAGTACTACTCAGCCATAAAGAACGAGAAACTAGAGACATTTCTAGCTAAATGGACGCATATTGAGGCCACACTCTTAAGTGAAATAAACAGGACACACATGTGTAAATACCGAATAGTTTCTCTAGTGTGAGAAACTGAAAGTGTAAATAAGGATACACACAGATGAAATGGCCTAACAACATATTTCTCAGATTGTGTTTCCATCAGATGTCATATGACTGTATCAAAATTTAAATTAGGGAGAAGCTTGGCTTACATGGAGTCTGCTAACTGGAGTTTTTTTCCAGATCATTATTTGTTCAATGTTGGTTTTGGGGACCTTTCTGAAACAAATCACAACCTCTGGTGTCTTGTTGGTGCTTGAGATGCTTTTTTAAGTTATATGGAAAAATGTTTAAGTGCTTTTCAGTTTTGTTTTGGTTGAGTTCTACTGTATTTGAATATTAGTGTAGTTTTTTTCCCCTTTCATTGTTCTTCTTTGAGTTGTTTAATTTTTTGTATGTGTGTGTGTGTTTGATAATAAAGTTATTTAATTTAAAAAAAGAAAAGAAAAGAAAATGCAGGGGGAACCAGAACAGGTATAACCGAGTCCTGCCACAGAAGCAGCACTTGATGCCAACACCTGACTCTCTCCCTAGACTGTGTCCCCACCTCCCAGTGGCCTCCCCCACCTCACCTTCCAGGCCGGCATGCCATCATAGTGGAGCTCTCCATCTCTGATGAAGTTGTAGAGAGGTGAATTAGGTGTGGAATTCAGGTCCCCACACAAGATGATAGGACAGTGACTGCCATCTGACAACCTGGCCACTTTGTCCACTTCAGCCAGGAGAATAGCCATCTGTGCCAGCTTGACATCACCCCGCCGTGGGTTGTACAGGACATGGGTATTTGCCACGCACAAGGGGGCTACTGAGACTTGTCCCAGGCCTTCTGGGACTAGTGGCTGCAGCAACAACACTAAGCCCACATTGTCCCGATTGAGAAGGTCCAAGCCAGGCCGGAAATACTCCACAGGGCTGGCACAGAGCAGACGGAATCTGGTGGGCTTATAGCAAACCGCACAGCCATCCATTTTATATCCAGTTCTCCTCTTGTAGAAACAGGTAAAGCCTACAAGGAAAACCCTGCCAAGGAGATAGGTCAGAGTCCCTTCCATCCAGTGCAGCAGCCCAAGTTGTGTGCCTAAAGGCATTGTTCCTGCTGCTCAACAAAGGGAACCCTTGTCCTTGCTACTTCCTAGGTCCTGAAGAGATTCCCTTGTAATTGTAATCAGATGACTCAAGGACTGGAAGGGGAAGGAGGAAGGGAAGGGTATGAAGGAGTATAACAAACTTGACAGGAAGAGCATGGAATCTTGAGTCAAGTTGGAATCCTGGCTCCGTAACTTACTAGCTTTGTAATTTTATGATTTTGAGCAAGTCACACAAGCTTTCAGAACCCCATTTTCTCATCTGTAAAGTGGGGATAACAACAGTAAGCCTCACATGTTGGTTACTTTGAAGATTAAATGGTTAATAGTCACAACTGCTTTAAAAACTGCAGAATACTACTGTCTCACACTCAAAAAGAGCTAGCTCACAGGTGAGACTGGGAGTTCACTAAGATAAAGGAAAAGATGGAGTCTTCAGGAGAAAGTAGGGAGGACTGCCTGGAAGCAAAAGGGCTGGCAAGTGCACCAACAAGCTGCAGTACCCATCAGTCGAAGAGCGGGCTCCAGCTGCTCCCAGTAATGGTCTTCCTGAACTTCCTGGAGACACAGGATCTGAGAAATTGACAAGGAAACCAATCACTCCACAGTGTTGGAATGTGCTTCCCACTCCTTAGGAACAGGCACCCAGGGCAGGTAGGAAGCCATGAAGATCTCAGGTAAGGTCACACTGAAACTTCCTGCACAACTGACTTCCCAGACAGCCACCAACAAGACTTAAGCTGAGGAGGCCAGAGAAATGCACTAGATTTCCTGCTCCTTTAATTCCTTGAATTGTCCTCCCCACATAAAGATGCTGAAAAGTGCACATCTCAGCATCTGCCAAAAAACTCACTGACTCCAGGAAGATGAGCTCCAGCCTTAGGCAGGACTGCAATCATCTGAAGAATTATGGCATTGAACTCATTCTCTAAGAACATCAGGAAACAGCACAGATGGTACTTCCCCCTTCACTTACATCAGGGTCCCAGTGCTGAAATTCCTGCATGAGGTTTGCAAAGCGATAGTTCCAACTGAGGATGTCTGGGTGGCAATGCAGATAGAGCTCTGAGCTCTGCTGCATCAGGTCCTGGGCCAGGATATTATAAGACATCAGAGTGAACTGGAACTGAGGGCCATCGCCTGCCTCCAGGCCCTGAGCACCTGGCTGGGTGGAGAAATCCTCCCATTCTCGCCACAAGATTTCTGCAAAGCAGTTGAGGTAGACAGAGATCCATGACAAATACAGGTTATCCAGATGCCCATCCCCCCCCCCGCCATTCTGACTCAGTAATATTATATCTGAAGTTCCTTTTCCCATCGTTCCTGTCACCCAGCCCTCTCTGGTGATTAGAGCAGCCATTCTTCAGAATACACAATGTGCTCCACCAAGCCAGAGACCATCCTGGCTGGTCCACCACTGCATCCCAGGAGCTAGCACCTAGTAGATGCTCAAAAAGTACTTAAAGAGTCTGACAATCTCTCACTTTTGACACATCTATGAGTCTCTGGAGAATCACTCAGCTGGGTGTGTTTCAAATAACCTAAGAAATTTCTAGAGTAATGTATATTTTCTGACCTCTAGACCTAGTGATAACATGGGTCAGCTTAGGGGATTTCAAAACTTTTGGGGCCACTGAACTCCCTTAAAATTTTAATGGACTCCCAATACGTAACACAAATAATACTGAAGTTATTCTCCACAAAGGAGAGCCTGAAACCTTTCCATGCTACTCCCAGAAAGCCCCCGAGTCACCTCTGCAGATACAACAGTGCAGAGAATCAGAATTAGGGTTGAGTCTATTCTGCTACCTAGCTGTGACTTCAGACATGCCCCATTACTTCTCTGCACTGTGGTTATTTCATCTGAAAGTCCATGGGGCTGGATAAGGTGATCTATAAGATCTCTCTAGACCTGACTCTGACACTGCAAAGTCTTCAGGAAAACAAACAGGTGGCCAAGCTCCCCATCACACAATCTCCTCCAAGACAGACTGCTAGCCTGTCCTACTCAGCTAGTGGTCAGACTCACCATGATATGGTATTTCCATCAGGGGAGGCTGTAACTGCCCCAGGCCCTCAAAGGGCCAGATGCAAGTCTCTTGCTGGGGCACAGGCTCCGGTGCTATGCTCCAGGCTACCACCGCAGGGTCCTCTTCCCACTGCTCTGTAGCCAGGGCACCCACTGGGAGTACAGCACAGTCTGCATACTGGGAGCCTGTCTGCACACGCACAGCTGCCCATAAAGGGGCCTCAACCTCGGACACCAGCGCCTCTCCTAGCACCTGAGGGAAAGGTTCATGCAGAGTCTCTGCTGACCGCAGCTCACTCAGTTCCCTGCTTGTCCACTTGTCCTCTGAAGCAGCATCCTGTTCTCCAGGATTATCCATCAGGAATGCCAGGCTGCTCTGGGATAGTGCCTTATCTGCAAGAGGATCCTCACTCACAGTTGACAGCACCTGGCTCAACCCTTCTTCTTGCCACTGCTGCAGCAGGCCCTCACACTCCTCCCGGTCAGGGCCCCAAGGGGCCATGGCAAAGTCACCCTCTACCTGGGGGGTCGAGCTTTTCGCCAAAAGGGCATTTTTCCGACATGTGAAGAAAGCATCTAAGAGGAAAGCAAACATAAGAGGTTACAATAAGACAGCATCACGAAACTCACACTCTTCTCCCAGCTAAATGTAAGCCCCACATGAGTAAGAATCATATCCACCTTGCTCTATATCATTGTATACCATCACTGAGCCTGCCCAGTTTAATGCTTGCAACATCATCAACACAGCAAAGTACTTGCAATATGCCAGGTGCTGTTCTAAGTACTCTACAAGTATTAGGAGGACACATTTTTTTTTTTTGTACTGGGGATCAAACTCAGGACCTTGCACTTTCGAGCCAAGCAGCGGAACCACTGAGCTAAATCCCCGGCCCCATTTACAAGTATTAGTTAATTTACAAGGTAGAAACCTGATAAATTGCAGCCCATGAATGGAAAACAGCTGTCCCACACAATCTAGGACATAGACAAGTATAATCACATCCCTTTGATCAGGAGTTTGATTGTTATTAACATAAACTCTCTGGTTCTAAAAACCATATTACATTAGAATTAACCCTTGACCATGAAATAGAACTGTAAGTTATGGTCTAGCCCCAAAATTAACAAAATTACCTGAATTTGGACAATACTCCTACTCAGATAGACTCCCCCCACTCTGTGATACCAGGGATCGAACTCAGGACCTTGCACTTACGAGGCAGGCGTGATGCCACTGAGCTAAATCCCCAGCCCTAGACTTACCCTTAACTGTAAAACGGGGACAAAAGTTTGGAGTAGATAACTTCCAACAGTTTTGTAGCTCTATAAAAACTCCCTTATCGGGGCTGGGGATTTAGCTCAGTGGTTTCGCTGCCTGCTGCACAAGCACAAGGACCCAAGTTCGATCCCCAGTACCAAAAAAAAAACAACTCCCTTATCTATGAATGCAATCCAAAAGAAAAAACCTAAAGTAGTCTAAAAAATCTGTGCAATTTACTTCTTAGCAAGGGTTCTTGAGCCTCTTCTCAAAGATATTTATTCTACTCATAAAACTTTCACAAATTTCATTGTTTTCCCATTCCAAAACACATCAGAGGTTGTAAAATAGATGCCAACAACTGACAGCTAAGAGACAGCTGTCATCTCTCTGCTACAGCAGCTACAAATGACAGCCAACAGGCAAGAAAGCAGGTGGGAAAATATCTAAAATTAGAACTTCAAAACCCTGAGCACAGTATTTTGGTGAGGGCAAAAAACCTTCCACACTAAATCACTTATTTACAGCATAGGACAAATGACATACATGATGATGACCCACATCCACTACAGATTAAAATGGCTCAAATATTGAAAAATAGTTCAAATACCTTGGGTATGGTCTATGTGAATGTATGCTCCTCTACACCAGTAGTTTTCGGGGGGGGGGGTGCCCTCAAGGCACATTTAGTAATGTCAGTAGAGATTTTTGTGTCTGTCACAACTGTGGCAGTGCTACTGGCATTTAGTAGTTAACAGGACAGGGATGCTACTAAACATTCTAAAATGCACAGGACAAATCCACAAATGATCTGACCCATAATGTAAACAGTGCTGAGACTGAGAAACTCTGTTCTAAACCTAGGGGCTGGGTTGCTGGGCTTTAGCATCAGACTTGCTAATTATCCACTCCTTGACACTTCCCCTATGTACAGATACCAGATGGCAGAGGTTCTTTGGCTTAAATGCATGAGGTCACCAGCTTCCAAATGTAGCTGATTTTGTAGATGGTGTTCTCAGAAAGAAAATGTTGTTGTCTTTTAATCTTATTTTGCTGGATGTGGTTTTGTACACCTGTGATTCCAGCACTCAGGAGGCTGGGGCAAGGCCAGCCTGGACTACATAGCAAGACCCTGCCTTAAGCCCCCCTCCCTCAAAAATACTTATTTAAAGGGGCCAGGGATTTAGCTCAGTGGTTCTGCCACCTGCCTCGCAAGCGCAAGGATCCCAGTTCAATCCCCAGTATCAAAAAATAAATAAATAGTAAACTTATTTAAAAACCAAACACAAAGTTAATGTAAGTATGGATAGGGAGGGGGCCTCCTTTGTTATCCCTAGAACTCTGCTATTCTGCGCACCTCTGGTCTAGTATGTGTCACTAAGGCTGCCACTGTGGACACTGGACAAGCTCCAGATACCAAAGTAACATAGCTAAAGGAATATGCTGAGTTCTCTGAAAAACAAGGATTCTGTAGGGTTTCCCATTCCTAGGAAGTATGGACACACAAGACATTCCTGAATTCATTGTCTACCATATACCAGGCAGTGTTAGCACTAGGTGCAGCCAACAAATGTTCATGGCCCTGCCCTCCTCAAGCTTGCAGTCTAGCTGCAGACAGGCAATAAAAAGTAAAAATATTTTTATATGAAACACCCACTATAACACACACAATGTGTAAAGTTTCAGAAGGAAAAAGCACAGAATGCAGTCGGTCACCTTATTTCTAAGTACTTCTTGATCCTGCTCCCTAAATTTCTGAAAAAAAGGCTGGAAGTCTGTGAGATCTGAGAGAGAAACTGATGGTCACATAAAAGCGTCTGGAATTTCAACGACCAGAAACGGAGTGCAGGCGGATTACGGAACGTAAAGGAATAACCCTCCTCTAGATCTTTAAAGTAATGGCGGGGCCCGGCGCCCACCCCACCACCCCTCTCCCAGACAAGCGGGGAAAGGCTCCGGAGCAGCCTGTAGGTGCCCGAGAAGTGTCGGGGACACAGGTGCGCCCAGCACCTCCGCCCACCGAGCCCCAGGCCGCCGCCTCTTCCCGCAGAGAACTGGGGAACTCGCCTCGGCCAGGGTGCCACCCTCCCGGCGCCCGGGGCAGTGACTCAGGGGACTCCCACAACCTCTCTGCACCCCGCGGCGCGGGGGCGGGGGAATGGCCGGCTACCCAGGCCCTGTCCACGTTAACTGTGGCCCGACGTCACCAGGCCACCGGCAGAGGAGGGCTCGACCACGAGGGTCCCCCACCGGGCCTCGTGGGAAAGCACGGCCCCGAGGGGCGGGTCAAGGGCCGCCTCGCACACCTCAGTGGAGAGGCGGGCGCTCCGCAGCCGTCCCAGGCCCCGCGGAGCCCCGCAGATGCAGGCCGGGCCGGGCTCCCGCCAGTCAGGACGCGGGGCCGGTACCTGAGAGGGCGCGGAAGAGGCGCGCAGCAGGCAGTAGCAGGTAACACAGGCAGGAAGCGATCATTGCCAGCCCGCGCCGCCACCCCTCACCTCAGCCCCGGCTCTCCCTCAGCGTGGCCCCGCCCCTTCACCGCCAAGGCCCCGCCCCGGCAGGCCCACGGGTGCTGCCGGCCTCAGGCCACCGGCTTCAACAACAACTTTATTGGTACCGCAAGGCCAGGAGCGCCGCAGGGGGAGAGAGGAGCAGGCTCCCATGGCAACGGCCAACCCGTTGCTCCTCTACTTGTGAAGTGCTAAGGATTAAAATTGAGTACCTCACTAGAGGCTCATAATATCATTCTGAGGCACTGTTTTATTCCCTCTTCTGCTGCTAACTGGATGTCTGCCTTCGGGCCGCTATATGTTCTTTCTGCCCTTCAGTTTCTTCCTCTGTAATATGAAGAGCTGGACTTTCTCTAAAGTTCCTCTTAAACCTAATTTCTATAATCTGGCTCTTAGGCGAGGGAGGAGAAGAAGCCAACTCTTCCCCTAGTTCCTCTTCCTGCCTTTATTGTCTCCCCCAACTCAGATTCTAGGTCATAAATTGATTTCTCCTTTCGGCACTGATTTTTGTCTCCTTTACTATCTGTTCCAAATGGGTCCTTTTTCCCCTAATTTGGCAAAAAGAGGGTAAGCGTGGATGGAAGGAGGAAGGAAGGGACTCCGTAAGGCTCGGGAACACATCTGACTGGTGGTTTGCCTTGAGGTATCTGTCTATTGCCTAACACTGTGCTATCCCCACTGTGAGGATCCATGATTGAACAAAGTGTACATCACTAAATGACAGTCAGTTCTTCCATCGATTCTGTGCTACTCCAAGACTTCTTTGAGCATCTCTTTCCCAGTTCCCACCCTCAATCTTCTCACCCAGCCATGGTATGAAGAAGCAAGGACTATGAAATGCACCCACTTTCAGTAGCCAGTGTCTGAGCTGTGCGATTTCCAGTTTGTGGCTGGAGACTTGGTTGTTCAGGGAAGCCCTCTGGGGAGTCACCGAATCCTGGACCTGCTGGATACATCTTAACAGGGAAGGTCTAAAAGGAGGAAGGAGAGAGTCAGTACTGCGGCCTTCGGGCCATTAGCTGTACCTCCAGAAGCTGCGGTGACTGCCTCCAGCAGCAGCACCCATCCCTTTGCCTGAGGTGAACCAGAGGCCCTGCAATCTAAAGAAACCAGCCCACACATGTTAGATCTAGCTAAGGAGCCCCAAGGTCAGGCCCGCTCCTTCCGCCTGGTTGACATAAACACGCCTTGTACCCTCCTTCCATTTGGTACCCAGAAGTCCAAGTTCCAAATCAGATATTACATCAAGGTACTTATCTGGAGTCCATGTGTGTCATTTTGTGAGGTAATGGTTTCCTTACCCACTTGGAAAATGCTTTTAGAATACAGATTTCTAGGTGATCTTTGCAGATCTGCTTTCACAGATCTGGGATGAGGCCCTCAAACACTCACCAGGTTATTCTGTTTGTATAGCTCAGATGCCTCTGCTGAAGGATCCAGCCTCAGGTGGGCTGCTCAGAGTGCAAGTGTGGGCACAGTGTGGCAAGCCAGCTGATGCCATGGTTCTTCAAAGGCTTTTCCTGAGATTAGCCAAGTGAGACTTCCCTGTGTTTGTTTCCTGGCCCATAATCAGCTATGTTAGAAAGTGAAGGGCCCTAGGAGAATCACAAGCTATGAAGTTGGGCCACCAGTTCAGACCCCAGCTCTGCTGCTTGCTTCCCCTGGACACTCTCAGGTTACCTATGCCTCACTTTCCTAACCATGCCTGGCCCGGGGAAACTCTCAGTTGTTCACTATTACATTTTTTGAACTTGGGCAAAAAGCAGCCCTGGTCACTGTGAATGCAGGGCCTTCTTTCACAATCCCTGGCCTGAATAAGGCTCCTGCCCTGCAGGCTGCAATATAGCATTTCTAAGCAAGCCAGTCACTCCAGAATCCAAGGGGAGTTGGCCTGGGGACATGTAACCTCAAGCTTCCCCATCAAAGGAAAATTACAAGTACTATCTGCACTGTTTCAAGCCTCCTCATGTTAGAAAGAATCTGAGAGAAGGATAAGCTCCTCAACTCATCCGAACCTTGATGACAGTGACTGCAGTGGTGAGCATTCATCAGGAGCATGGTCTTGAGGTGTGGAGCCAATCTAATGGAGCAAAGTAGGATGATCTGCAATACTTTGGGGGATTTAAAAGGCTTTTTTAAAGAGGCATTTCCTGTACACAGGAAACTTAAGGCCCTTAAGGGGTCATAAATTATATTTGTGACTACAGTATATATGGAAGTTCAGCAGGCCGACTTATTGGTTGCATCTGTGCTGTTTACAGGGGACAATATAATGACTCCTTCAGGATTGCAGAGGCCGCTGACCAAAGCCTGGAGCAGTGCTGTCCAAAAGAAAAATAATGTGGATTGCATATGTAATTTTGAATTTTATAGTAGGGACTGGAAGTGTAGCTCAATGATCAAACACTTGACTAGCTATCCCCCCAAATATATATATATATGATATGATACATATAAAAAGTAAAAATACTCATAAGTAAATAAAGCAAGTAAAATTAATTTTAATAATGTTTCATTTAACCCTACAGACCCCCAAAATAGCTTTTTTCTTCTTTCTTTTTTTTTTTCTGTAGTACCAGGGATCGACCTTGCGCTTGCAAGGCAGGCGCAGTGCCACTGAGCTAAATACCCAGCCCAAAAGTAGCTTTTTAACATTTAATCAAGCTGGGTGTGATGACACATGCCTGTAATCCCAGCACTCTGGAGGCTGAGTCAGGAGGATCACCTTGAGGTCAAGGCCAGCCTGGGCTACACAGTGAGTTCAAGACCAGCCTGAACTATATAATGAGACCCTGTCTCAAAAAACAAAACAAAACATGTACTCAACATCTTAAAATGATATATTTTAATTCTTTTTTATACTTGGTCTTTGAAATCCCATGTTTTTTCATGGATATTACATCTCAATTTGTACTAACCATATTTCAAGTATTAAATAGCTACAAGCGACTTATAATGAGTGGCTTCCATTCTAAACCAGTACATATCTAGAGAGCTCAACCCGTCCAATGGTTCAGGCTGCAAAGAACTGTGCATCTGCAACTCTTATAACAGAGCCCCCCCACGCCCACCTCTGGAAACTTGGCTCCTCTGAGCCTAGTATTTTCTTCAGAGCCTCAGGATTTGTAGCCAGATTGTGCCAAAATAATCTGCATTGATGCATTCATTCATGCACTTTTTCTTGTATTCATTAGAGTTTTATCAAGCACTCCTCATTGTTCACCCCAGCCTCACTCTTGTCTTTGACTTGCTCCTCTACTGCCTCCCTTCTTGCTTTTGTCCACTTTAGAGAAGAAACAGAACCACCAAATGGAAACTCTGCACCCCATGGACCAGCATGCTTATCTGCCTCTGCTTCCCACACAGTGGCTGACCCTTTGACCGAGCTCAGAATCCCATCTCTCCTGCCTCCGGGATGTGGTCCTTCCACTTGCACCTTTTTCTGCATTAGTCCTTCCCACAATACTGGCACCTGCTCCGTCTCTCCTACATTCCAAAAACCTCCCTTGGCTCCATGGCCTCTCTGGCTGCCCCTCTCTCTCCACCTGTCCTTTACAGCAGCCCTCTGGAGAGGGCTGTCGCCCCTGTGCCTATCCTCCTCACCCCTCTTTCATGCTCATTCATCTGAAGTGCAGCCTTCCCTTGGTTCCTGTGGCAGGCTCACCTCCCTTTCACCATCTCTGTGCACATTCTGTTCTCATGTCCTTCACTTTGTTCCCTTGGCCACTCTTTTTGCTGAGGGTGCTTTGATCGCTCCTCTTCTTACTCTAAGTCCCTCCTCGAGAAATTTTCACCACAGAAATGGTTTCAAATACTATCCACGTACTGAAAACTCTCATACTTTCACCTTTAAACCCAAATCCTTTTCCTGGGCCCCAGACCCATAAATCCTATTACCAATGGACCTCTCCTATGGCTGTCCTGAGGTAACTCAAAGATCCAACACACCCAAACATGTGTTCATCACCTTCTGTCCATCGTCATCCTACAAATTAACCACTGCCCCAGTCCCTAGGTCTTCTTTATGAACAACAAATCATCTGCTGAGCTACCCAGACCCCCTACATTTTCTTCTCTTTCACTTTTTATCTGATCTCTCCTGAGTCCTAGTGGCTTGACTTTCTTCATATCTGTTCAGTCAGTCCATTTCATCCCTTCCACCACTCCTTGTTCAGCACCTTCCACACTGCCCCAGAGCAAACTTTCCGCTCTGCAAACCCTAGTAGGAAACACTGATGCTTAAAACATTTCTGCAAAGTCCCCCGTCATCAAAACACAAGCCTTACCAGGGGAGCATGATAGCGCATGCCTATAATCTCAGCACTTTGGGAGGCTGAAGCAGGAAGATCATAAGTTCAAGAACTGCCTTAGTGAGACCTTGTCTCAAAATCTAAAAAGGTGTGCAGTGGGGTAGGAATGTAGCTTAGAGTGAAGGCCCAGGGTTCAACCTCCAGTTATCAGGGGAAATTTTAAAAAAAACAAACCAAAAGCCAAACTCCTTAGCACAGCATGGGAAGCCCTTCATGACAGACTCTGCCCCCTCCCATCTCATTTCTTAGTACTTGCTTCCCAGTGAGAATCACACTCCACCCTCACCAACTACTTGGGATTCCCTCAACGTGCTATGGGACTTTATAGATGCTGTTTTCTCAGCCTCGGATACTCACCCAGGCCTACTCCACCCTCTGCCCTCATCTGGCTACTGCCCAATGGACCTTCAAGTCTCTGCCCAGATATCTCTTCCTCAGTGGAGCTTCCCAGAGTACCAACACTCTCATGGACACACATGGACACACCACTCAGGACCCAAGAAATTCCTGCTCTTGACTATTGTAGCAGCCTTGCATTCTGTGAGCTCAGCACCATCCATCCTCTGTCCCCTCAGTAGACTGCATATTTTATGAGGATGACCCTCTATCCCCAGCACCCTGCCCAGCCCCAGAGCACTCAGTACACTGAGTGGATGGATGGGTGGATGGATGGATGATGCGTGGGTGGGAAAAGTCCATCTTTCATTGGTTTCCTAAAGAAACCAGACCATAAAAAAAAAAAATCTAAACTTGTGAATTTGAACACATAGTGAGGACTTTCTTTGCATTTTCCAAGTTTTTGCTTTGCAATATAATCCTCTAGAAGGTCTCTTTCTTTCAAAGACTACCTCCCACATTTGAAATCTGGATTGATTAAAAACTACCATTTTTAAAACCCCTTGCATAAAACTGATCATTAATATAACATACAGATAATCTGCTTGTTTCTTCGGTTGTGTTTCCTCATCTTGCCTCCAAATGTGATTTCTACCAACTTTCTTGGATTTTTTTCTCTATTCTCTCCTTTAAAGAACTCAGACTTTCACTATTTGATGCCAGATAACAAGTGCCCATCTGTGCCAGGGCAGTGTGAAAGCAGCCAGAAGCTACACTCACATGAATGGTCATGACTCTGTTTCAACACAACTTTACTTACAAAAACAAGTCATGGACAAGATTTGGCTACTGGACTATCCTTAACAACCCTGAAATACATCACCTACATGCAAACCTTTCTGAGCCAGGGGCAGCCATTGCACTGAGGGAAGAATAAAATTGAGGAACACGCTACAAAATCCCAACCAGTACTCTTTGAAAAATGCCAAGGCCGTGAAAGACAAAGAAAGAAAGACTGAGAAGTGCCACAGATTGGGGGAGACTAAGAGAGCCCCAATACACAATGCAAAGTGCGATCCTGGAACAGAAAATGGACCTTCATGGAGAAATTGGTAAAATATAAAACCTCCTTGGTCCCTCCTTTTCCTCTTTTTTTTTTCTTCTTTTTAGACAGGGACTCACTATACAGTTCAGGCTGGCCTTGTACTCACAGTGATCTTCCTGCCTCACCCTCCCAGGTGCTGGGATTACAGGTGTGTGCCACCACACTTTTTCCTCTTAATGATGCCCTCTTATCCTTTGCACCAATGAGGGGCCAACCAGATGCACTGAGGATCTCTGGGACTTGGATCCAGCTTTCAGGAGCTGGTCATCCCCAGCCTTCCTTGGAACCATGTGGGCCCGAGATACCAGAAAAGTGCTGTCATGCTGATTTAGGGTGACTCATGTCATTTATATGAACAGGAACTCTGCCAAGAATATTTGCCCAGGACCCTCCCCCTAAGGGTACCCCTGTCAGTATCTACAGTATCTTGTGTCGCACACACCTTGAAAGGTCCTTGTCTTTATCATGCCTCATCCTTGTCCTACAATGGTACCTATATTAGTGACTCATCACACACACAGTAGGCACTCAATAAACATTTTTAGAATGAATGCCTGAAGAAATGAATAACATCTCAGGTGTACATCTTTCTTTTAATCTTTGATTCTAACTATGTTTTTCCTTCACAGATTTCTAGATCTTCATCATTCTTCTAAGTGACAAAAAGGGATTTTCGTATTCCCAACCTCTTCCATCACTGACCTGACAGTTGATGCACCAAAAGTTTACTGAGAAGGAACAGACACGAATCCAGGTTCTCCTGCCAGCAAACTGCCCCTGAACTTCAACTCCACCACAGATGAGAACAGCCAGGTATGGGAATGATGGCTGAGTGGTTTCCACTTAGGCACCCCAGTAGTTTGGATTGAGCAGTGCTCTGGCGGCAACAAACTGCAGTGATAGAACATATGTTTGTTGTGCTTTGCTTCTTGATCTTCGGCTCTGAGGTTGAGGATGCCCTCCCAAAGGGAAAAGGAAAAAGGAAAAACTGGGTGGAAGAAAACCGACTTCACCCATCACTGAAATACTTGGTACCTGAAGCATAGCCACCTTGAGAGACAAACATGGTGGCAGCTCTTTACAGTCACCTGATTAAGGGGCTTGTCTTTGGTCCTGACTCAGAGAGAAATACACCCTCGCTGAGAGGCCCCTGCCCAGCACCCTGACACTCACAGCCAAGCCTAGGCTTGGCCGCAGCAGTCATGAGAAAAGATGACTGAACCACCAGGAGGGCAGAAGGAAGGCCCACGGTTGCCATGTCCCCCTGCGTGGATCACAATGACTGTGTGAGGTCACGGAATGTTGAGACTGAAATCACATGGCTCCTAAGTCACAAAGTCACAGGCAGGTGGGCATCTTTTCGACAGGGCTCTCAGGAATCGAGCTGTACCACTCTCCCTGATGAGCTGGGGAGGTAGCTCCCACTCCCAGACAGAGTTGGGGTCTATCCTATGCACATCCAGTTCCTGCCAAAACCCTAACTCCCCAAAGCTCCCTGGGACAAAGGGATGGTTTCAGGCACCCCTGGGATTTGCCTGTTCGAGACTAGGACACACAGCTTGAGGCAGAGGTGAATGGACAGGTAGGCTTCTTAGGGAGACAGCTGAAAGGTGGCAAGAAACAGGCAGCAGCTCTCCAGAGAGCCCTGGCAGCATGGACAGTGACGAGCCTCTTGAGGACGAGACAAAAGGTGAACAAGACATCCCATCTCTCACCTCTGGGGCCCTCCCAGGCTGTGTATCGGAGCGCCTGGAGACTATGTGGGCCCCAAAGCCTCTTCTCTCTCTGCCAGGTTCCCTCTAGAACCAGGATGATGCGTTACATTGACTTGGGTTGAGGGCTGGGCAATCAGTGAGACAGTTGGGTGTTGTGCTGCAGTTGCTCACATTGGTTCTAGCCAACTTTCATTGTCATTTTGTGAGCTGGCTGACATCACCTTGGTAGTTAAAAATCAGTCATCTTGGGAATATTTACACCACATGCACTGGCCCACACTATAAATTACAATGTGTTTTTTTTGTTTTGTTTTGTTTGTTTTCCTGGAGAACCAGTGGTTAAATATTTACCATCATCCCATGGGATGAATGGAATTCTAAAGTTGTTTGATTGATAAGGAAACTGAGACTCAGAAAATCACTTTCTCAGGGCACTTGAGGCAGTTTGGCAGCTCAGCTGCTGTATGTCCCCTGACCACCAGGCCTCTGATATTTGTGCCCCACATCACACAAACTTTGTCTCACAGGCTGGTAAATAAATGTTGGGGCCCTGGTCTATGGGCAAGAAAGACAAGCATTCTCAAAGCCACTTCTCAAAACCACTGAGTCCTGTGATGCTAGAGGGTTCAGCTCTGACTTCAGGTATGGCTTTCAGGAGCCCCTGGCTGGATGCAGATCAAGAGCCCAGTGGAAAAACATCTGTTAAGTGTGGAACATCCATGTAAGGGGAGCTCTGCTCCTCCCACCAGCAGCGTTTGTCACCAAGACAAAAATCAGGAACAAGACAGGGATGTCCATTGTCACCACTTCTGTTCAATATAGTACTCAAACTTTAGCCAGAAAAGTCACGCAAGAGAATGAAATAAAAAGGGTATGTATAGGAAAGGAAGAAGTCAAATTATCTTTATTCACAGACAACATGATCCTTTACATAAAAGACCCAAGAAATTCCACCAAAAGACTCCCAGAGCTAATAAATTCAGCAAGTAGCAGAACACAAAATCAACTTATAAAAATCAATAGTGTTCCTGTACTCCAGTAATGAACCTACTAAGAAAGAATTTAGAAAAACAACACCATTCACAATAGCTTCACAAGAAAAACTAAATATTTAGGAATTAAGCTAACAAAGGCAGTGAAAGACCTATATAACAAAAACTATAGTACTCTGAAAAAGGAGATCAAAAAGGACATCAGAAAATAGAAAGACTAGCCAAGTGTGGTTGCACCTGCCTGTAATCCCAGCAGTCAGGAACTGAGATAGGAGGATCACTACAAGTTTGAGGCCAATCTAGGCTACATAATGAGAACCTGTTAAGAAAGAAAGAAAAAGAAAGAAAGAAAGAAAGAAAGAAAGAAAGAAAGAAAGAAAGAAAGAAAGAAAGAAAGAAAGAAAGAAAGAAAGAGAGAGAGAAAAAGAGAAAGAAAAGATATACCCTGTTCCTGGAGAGGCAGAACCAATATTGTCAAAATGGGTACACTTCCAAAATTGATATATAGATTTAATGCAATCCCAATCAAAATACCAACAGCACTCCTCACAGAAATAGAGAAAATAATCCTAAAATTCATATGGAACCAGAAGAGACCTAGAATAGCAAAAGCAATCCTGGACTATATGAGCAAAGCAGGAGGCATCACAGTCCCAGGTTTCAAGTTATATTGCAAAGCTACAGTGATAAAAAACAGCATGGCACTGGCACAAAAACAGACATGTGGATGAATGGAACAGAATGGAGGACACAGAAAATCTCAGGCACATTCAGCCATCTGATCTTTGATAAAGGGACCATAAAACATATAGAAGAAGAAAGATAACAAATTGTGCCAGGAAAACTGGCTATACACAAGCAGAAGATTGAAGCTAGGCCCATGTCTCTCACCATGTACTAAACTAAAGTCAAAATAGATCAAAGATGTAAATATTAAAATGAAAATAATCTATTGGAAGATAAAATAAGTAAAGGTCTTGAAGACACAGGCATAGCCAAGAACTTTCTGAACAGAACCCCAGTTGCACAACAAATAACATCAAGAATCAACAGGGCCGGGGATTTAGCTCAGTGGTTTCACCGCCTGCTTCGCAATCGCAAGGACCCGAGTTCGATCTCCAGTACCAAAAAAAAAAAAACAAAAAAAAAAACAAGAATCAACAAATGGGTTTATAACAAATTAAAAATCTTCAGCAAAGCAAAAACAAACAATCATGAGGATACCTACAGAATGGGAAAAAATTTTGCCAGCTCTTCCTCAGACAGAAGACTAATATCTAGAATACATAAAGAATTTTTAAAAATTAGATCTCTCCCAAAATAAAAGACCCAACCAAAAAATGGTCAATGGAAATGAATACAGGCTTCTCAGAAGAAGAAATACAAATCTCCAATAAATATTTGAAAAAGTGTTCAACCTTTCTGCCCATTAGAGAAATGCAAAGTAAAACAACACTGAGAGTCCATCTTGGTCCAGAAAGATTGGCTATCATCAAGAAATCAAATAATAACAAATGCTGGCGAGGCTGTGGGGAAAAAGGAACCCTTCTATGTTGTTAGTGGGAATGTAAACTAGCATAGTTACTATGGAAACCAGTATGGAGATTCCTCAAAAAACAAAAACTAGAAATTCCATTTGACCCAGCTATTCCCCTTCTAGGTATCCTCCCTAAAGAGTTAAAGACATTATATTACAGTGATACATGCACACCCATGTTTATAGCAGCAAAACTCCTAATAGCTAAACCTTGGAAGCAGCCTATATGTCTGTCTGTCAACAGATAAATGGATAAAGAAAATATGGTGTTTAATCACAATGGAGTACTACTCTGCCATAAAGAAATATAAATTTGAGTCATTTGTTGGAAAATGGATGCAACTTGAGACCAAAATGTTAAGTGAAATAAATCAGACACAAATAATTTTTCTTATATGATTTTTCTTATATGAGAAATTTTTGATGATTTTTTTATATGAGAAACCCAAAGTATAAATAAATTAAAGAGCAAAATAAAAGACAGCTAATAGGAAACAGGGAGATAGAGCTTTTGCAAAAGGAAGGGGACCAAGGGATGACAGGAAGGGGAAGGGAAGGGACAAGAGGGAGATATAAATAAAATGAAGATGTGTTTGGCAAGCACGGTGGTGCACGCCTGTAATGCCAGCACTTGGGAGGCTGAGGCAGGAGGATCACCAAATTCAAGGCCAGCTTGGGCTACATAGTGAGTTCAAGGTCACCCTGATCTACAGAGTGAGACTGTGTCAAAAAAAATTTTGAGATATGTTATGTACATGTACCAACTTCCCACAATGAATGTAGTCATTATGTATTGCAAATGTGCTAATAACATTTTTTTAAATTTTAAAAATCAATTTCAACCTAAGGTAGATTTTCCTGCCTTGTCTTCCTGGTCATAAAAACAATGTTGGGTTGAAAGGAAGAGAAACTGGATCAAATTCTTAGGAAAGAGGTTCTGTCCCTTGCTCAATGGTTCTGCTCCTGTCCATTTTACTTTGCATTTGACTCAAGTCACCACCTGCATGGTCCCTACCCACCCCAGCACCATTTATTCCTGAGGATGAAGAAGCCTGAGCTTGGAAACATCCTTTTATCTGACAGAGTAGCTGCAGACCCTGAAACCGCTCAAGGGGAAAATGTGAGCAAGAAACCCACCAAGACAAGCCCCAGACAGGAAATGGGGCAGGAGAAAGCCAGTTCCCAGGGAGCATTTGCCACACAACCCCATGAGCCAGCAGCGTGTCAAGAAGGGAGGGCTCATAGAACAGTCATCCTGGCAGGGCTACCGCACAAAGGCTGAGGGGACACAGGCTGCAGCCAAGACCCCGGAGGCAGAGGAAGGGAGTGGGCATCCAGGGAGATCAGTAACAGGTGCCCCTCCAACACCCAGGTGTCAGTCCAGAAATCAAGGAAATGAATTTTTCTTCCAGATGGGACTGAGAGCGAGTTAGCGCCCCAGAGCAGCGATGCCATGCTCTACGGTGAGGCTGAAGCTCCCTCCACTGTTGAGAAAGAGAAACCCACCTGGGAGGATTCAGAAACAGACCTGGAGATTGAAGGTGAAGGTGGGCATCTAGGGTTGGTGTGGCTGTCCCCATCAGGGTGGCTGATGTTCCCCATCAGTTCCCTCAGAGCTGAAGAAATCTGGTTCCATCCAGCAGGCTATTCTGCAGGGGACCCTAGCAGAAGGCTGTGCATGATTCTATTCGACAGCCTCCTCCAGGCGGGCTAGGGACAGCAGCTACAGCTGCCAGCTGTGACCTGCCTCATGGAGTGTCCCATATCAGCTTGTTGAAAGCTGAACCAACACACAGGGGTTTCCCATCTTAAACATTTCCCTGTGTGGCATCTTGTATGAATTCTCCACAGTCCTAGGAGGGAGATACTACTACTAGCCTTTTCCAGAATAGGAAAGTGAGACTTAAAGAGCTTGTGTGAGCTGGTCAAGCCATGTTGGCTGAGCCCACCACATTTGACCCACCTTGATTTGCCCTCTGCATCCAATATTCTGGAGCCCTACAGGGTCTCTGTGACCCGTCTTGCAACCTGGTGACTTTGTGATCATCTTGGAGTTCTCATACCCCTACTCGAGAAGCCTATGACAAATCTAAGCCTATTGAGCTGCAGCAAAGTCTCTGTTGTTGCACACAATACCTCTCCCTTCTTTTTCCTCCCAGTTTCCCAAGGAAGGAAGTGCCAAAAGAACATTTGTGAAGCAAGGAGAGGATAATACTGGTCCTTTCGGGTGGAACCAGCCTCAGGCTGCCCAAGTCACACTTCCTGTCCCGTGCCCTTGTGCTTAAGTGAGAGGCAGTGAGTCACAAGCATCCAAGACCAAAGGGAGACTGTTTGACCTTAACATTAAACTGTGAAGCTTACGAACATGGAGTCAGTTTATAAAACCTCCCCACCACGGTAAACATACACTCCCCTTCAACACACATCTCCTCCTCGCTGTCCCCAGATTGTCACTAGTGCTGCTTGCAACATCTGATTTTACCTGATGGGAGGAGGTGGCAGAGGACAACCCTGGATGCTTTGCCCAAGGCTCCTGCTCCCATCTCATTCCTCCTTGCCCCCTCGTCCCCAGCAAGTGACAGCACTTTGGCAAGCTGCCTCTGAAATATAACCACGGTGAATATAGCTAGAAAGGTTCAGCATGAAAGATCAGAGCAGAATTGGGCCCAAGAATGAAACAAGGGTTGCCTTACCCCCCCCACACCCCACCCCACCCCAGAACCTCTAATGGCTGCCAAAAACTCTATCATGAGAAGAAACTTGGAGCTCAGCTGCTCTGGCTCCTGCTGTCCCTGCTGCTGGTGCTGAGATGCTGGGAAGGGGCAGGAGAGCTTCCTGATGAGAGCAGCAAGCTGGAGGTGAGTCTGCAGAAGTAGGGCAGATGGACGTGGGCTTTGCTCACCCACCACAGGCTGTTTCCTGTTCGACAGTGTTCTTGCCCGGAAGCAAATGTACACCCAGGGGACAGTTGCCAAACTATGGGAGTGAAGGACTGCTAATGTCACATGGAGGCACAGGCCAGGGACTCTTACTAAAGAGCACACCACAATGCATAGAACAGCCCCACACAGCAGAGTTCCAACTAGAAATGTCAGCCGTGCCGATGTTGAAAAACCTTGCCATGTAACCATTCTAAAAAGAAATAGCTGTCCTGACCAAACCAGCTTCCCTGTAAAGTTGTCCTCTCCCCAACAAAGCTCTCATTTGCATTAAAAATGTTTGGTGTAGTTTGGCTAGAGGCCCTGGGATCTGAGGGAAAAACAGATGCACATGTAGAAGCCAGTGGCCACAGAATGCCTGTGATTGGACTTGCCTAGTGGGGACCAACTATGGGGCCCCAGAATCCAGGCAGGCCCAATGCCTGTTGGCCATGGGTCAGGCTGGTCTAAAGCCTAAGGAATAAAGGCCCTGAGAGGTGGAAATGGAGAGGTAGAGTCCCTTTTCTTGTATGCTGGCTTTATCTTTGATCAGCTGTGTCATTTAGGGCTAAACTTGTCCTTGGAGAAGAAGGGATGACAGCAGGAAGGCCAACCAGATGGAAGTTTGCTTGTTCTGTCTGATTCTGATTTGCCATCCTGAGATGGCACTGTGGTACTCGTGGACTTTTTCTTGGTACTTATCTAAATCTTTGGCAAACTCTATTCATAGTGGTAGCAAAACTGAAACTGAAACGGAGACTCCCTCAACCATGGAAAGTCTCCAAGCAGGACACAATGGCACACACCTGTAATCTCAGCACTCTGAAAGGCTAAGACAGGAGGATTGCAAGTTTGAGGCCAGCCTGGGACACTTAGTGAAACTCTATCAAAATGAAAATAATAATAATAATAATAATAATAATAGAAGATGGAGAGGTAGCTCAATGGTAGAGCACCCTGGAGTTCAATCCCTAGTACCAGTAAAATAAAAATTTTTAAAGTCCCCAGCTTTGTGCTTACTGTCTTTACCTTTTGGGATTGTCCCAATGTGGCAGGAGGCAGGGTCTCTCCATGTCCCTGGTGGTGAGCCATTGGATGCCACCAACCTGGGATGGTGAGATGAGGGCGTACCTCTCATCTCTGCTGAGAAAGCCTGGGGCCTAAAGCCAGCGGCCTTATATCTTACCCAAAGGGAGATGTCCATTTAGTATTGTCTGGGATTAGTGTTTCCCTCTCCCACCACTGGGTGACTGTAGGATCGGTGGTTGCTTCTAGAGCATATACCCACAGGGACATAATGAATATCACCTGGTACTAGCAGGAAGCTAAGCCAAAGCCAACTTCATCCTGTCTTTCTCTGTAGATACTGAGAGGTCCTTCATCACTGGACAAAGGGAGCTGTACCTGGAGGCCTGCAAACTGGTGGGTGTGGTGCCTGTCTCTTGCTTCATTCGGAACATGGAAGAGCCCTACATGAAACTCAACCACCATGGTTTGGGCCCCATGGGTACCAAGGCTATCGCTATAGCCCTGGTGGTAAGTATGCTTGGGGGAGGCAACGCATGGACCCTGGATGATTAACAAGGTGGCAGAGATTCAGAGGGTCTCTCCTTTGGAGCCTAGAAGGGGAACCTTTGTGTCCACCTGCCCAGGGTCCTGCCTGGCTGCCAGCTGATTTCCTCAGTGAGCACATATTTCTCTTGAGCTCTAGGAAGTACACTGCTAGAAACCAGGATCTTGTTTCCATTCAGGAAGCAAAGTCCCAGCCTGTGGGCCCAGGGCAAGGGCCTGGGCTGGAATTGGGCCTAAAAGTTCATGCAAGAGCACAATACAATACTCAGTACTGGGGGTCCACTGCAAAGCTCACCTCTGTAATGAGTGAGTCTGCTGCTGAGCCACTCCTTTCAATGTTTTCTCTTTGCAGCATTAGAATTTATAAAGACAGACCACACTCTACAGTAAATCTTGTTTCCCCTCAGGAATAACGTTATTTCTTGGCTTGGCATGACCAAACAAGAATTCAACCTTGAATTCATCATAACTTTATATAATTATAACTAGTTATGTACAAAACTGACTCTCATCACAGAAAATATAACAACTATATGTCAACACCAGACCATTTGTTCATTTAGGAAGGCAAAAAGAAAGCTCCTTTTTTTTTTTTTTGATATCGGAGATCGAACTCAGGACCTTTCACTTGCCAAGCAGGCGCAGCACCTCTGAGCTACATCCCCAGCCCAAGCTCAATTTTTTTTGAAAGTTCTATTTCTAAAAGCTCAGTAAGGCAACTTGGTAGATGTTCTTTAGAGGTGATACTTTAAAATCAGTAGTCTTCAAACTGATCATGGAAAGAAAAAACAGGAAAAATAACAGAACAGATGAATAATTTTTATTTATTTATTCATTTTGGTATTGGGGATCAAACTTGGGACCTTGCACTTGCAAAGCAGGTGCTGGAACCACTGAACTAAATCCCCAGCCCAAGATGAATAATTTTTAAAGTATGCGTCTATGAAAGATCCGAAAGGAGAAGTGGAGTCAGTGAATTCTTTAGAGAAAGACTGAGAGGTGGGAGAAGCTGGCTAGAGACAGGAAGGACAAGTCCCAGGAAGATGGACTTAGCTAGATCCCACAAGGCAGAAGTCTAAGAGGATGAAGAGTGAGGAAGGCAATTCTGTGCTTTGATGTCTACCCAATTATGAAATGCATGGAAACTCCCAAAAGCCTTGCAGTCTGCCATCCACGTTCATTGCTGAACATTATCACTGATAGGCTGTAAGTTCCTTGAGGCATCAGGTGGTGTGCTGGCCACTTGAGGGTCCTCGTCCCCAGCTGGCACTGAAGAGCGTCTCTGTGAAATACATGGCCTTATTTTTCCTTGTCTTCTGCCCCACATGTTCCTCTTTTTTGAAAATGTAGCAGCATTTGCATTTAGCTTATGCCCATTAAGAAGTTGTACGAGGGCCGGGGATTTAGCTCAGTGGTTCCGGTGCCTGCCTCACAAGCTCAAAGTCCCGAGTTCAATCCCCAGTACCAAAAAAAAAAGAAGCTGTACGAAACAGATGATTGTACTGTTTTCTGCGAACGAGCGAGGAACGAGCAGAGAAGGCACAAAGCCATCTTGAAATGTGTTGAGGGCTGAAAGACTGATTAATGAAGTGTTAGGAATGCACCATTACCTCATGAGCTTCACGGGGCGGGGGGGGGGGGGCGGGACGGTGGAGGATAACAGTAAGACCCTTTCAGGATTTGGACACTTGTGTCTTAGTGACAGCAGCTTCTGTTTGGGGAGGGTACTTATTTTCTTCTCTGGTTTTCCATATCATTTATTTGACAATTGATCATTGTGACATTCTCATGGACTAAACTTTCTCTTTTGCTGTTTAAATCCTCACAGATGTGTGTTTCCCCTGCTTAGAGTAGAACCATCCTAATAGCAGGGATCATATTTCAACTGGGGTGTATACTTTCCTGCCTAGCAACAGGCCCTTGAACTTGATGGTGGGGCTGGGGAGAAGCTTGAGTGTAGGGATGTTCTCTATTGTCTTGTTTCCCTACCACTCAGCATGGAGAGTGACAAGCAGACATTAGCCCATGGGAAATGAGTGTGGATGGCTTGGTGAGTGAGCCTCCTGCTTCACCTTATGAACTGCAGGTCCCAAGCCTGACTCTGGGGTGGAATCAACTCAAGTGTCCAGATGCTGATAGGCAGCACCTACCTGGGAGGCACCTGAGCTATCTTCCGGGCCCCTGGCATACCATTCTTCATTGCAGTAGCTCTAACTATCATGTTTTCTTTTTTGCTGAGAGAGAAAACAGGCCCAAAGGCTCCTTAATACCTAATATTTCTCCACTGCTATGTGGGCTTTGAAAATTCTCAAATCCAAAGATGTGCCTGTTCTCTGACACTGTTTGTAATGGGAGCAAGGGGGAGAAGAGAAGAATAAAAGTTCTGGTTAGAACTAATGCTACAATGTGAGTCATTCCCTCTCATTTTGCTCTCAGCAGCAATGCAGACTAGCTTGCATTTAGATATTTACTGAAGATCTAAACCTAGTTCCTTCTAAACAGGCTTGAGACAGCCTTTTATTCAAAGGATATCAGGGGCTGGGGTGTAGTTCAGTGGTAGAGTGCTTGCCTGGCATGTGTGAGGCCCTAGATCCCCCAGCACTGCAGAGAGAGAGAGAGAGAGAGAGAGAGAGAGAGAGAAAATTAGGCTAAACTGAAAGAAAAGCTTTTGGAGAAGCAAAGCAAATGCTTTAGAGGGCCTCCTTGCATGAATCTTCATGTTTATGCTCCCCTGTTAAATGTATTAAGTTTCCCTCCATCTTGCAATAGGTCCTTTTCCTTGAGGCTTCATGGTTAGCTATTTAGCTCATCCTTGTGGCTCTTGATTTTCAGGCCTTTAGTTGCTTTAATGATCCTCTTCAAGCTTCTCCCAGAAAAGCCCATTGTTCTACAGAACTCAGTGGGGTGGCCTTCAATGCACTTCACCTGCACCTCCAAACCTTCTGTATTGGTCCATTGTCCATTACTGTAACAATATACTTGAAGCTGGGTAACTTTAGACAGAGGTTTATTTAGCTCACCACATTCAAGGGTATGGCACTGGCAACAGCTTGGCTCTGATGAAGGCCACATGGTGGCTGGCATCACAATGGCAGTGTGTGTGAGAGGGAGCGAGGACGCAATAAGACAGGAAAACACAAGGAAGGGTCAGTAAGACCTTCCACTACCGCCCCCCCGTTAACTTTTCAAACCTTTAACTCTTCAAATGGCCATATGAGGACTAAGCCTCCAACACATGAACCCTTGGGACACAGCCACAACCAAACCATAGCACCCTTTTCCATAACTGAGATGTTCAAGAGTTCTGAACCATAGCGAGCAGGGAACTGACCAGGTCACCAACTACTTCTGTGTCCTTCTCTCCTTTCTCTGGTGGCGGCTGAAGTCCAATACGGCTATCATCAGACTGGAGCTGGAAGACAACCGTATCATGCAGGAGGGTGTCTTGAGCCTGGTGGAGATGCTGCATGAGAACTACTATCTCCAGGAGCTGGTACTATGCCCTGCTCCGCTGCCTCCTCCTTTCACCCACTCAAGCCAAGCCACAGTCCCCTGCCAGGCCCAGGTCAGCCTCCGGGTGTCTGCCCCTGATCTGCAGGCTCCTCCCCCGCTAGATGTGACTTCTCAAAGAGGGCCGTGCCCCAGAGCATGGCATGAATCAGTGAATGGAATTTACACAGATTTGTTCAAACTCACTTTTTAATTGTTTCATGCCAAAGCTAAACTCTCCAAATGAAGCTGCTTTGAGTTGCAAAACAAAACAATGTGCTCATTGAAGTACCAGGGCTGAGCTCGTTGGAAGTGGGGAGTCACTGAACGGATTTCAGCAACACTGCAGCCTCATGACAGGCATCAGAGAATCCAGACAGGGAGCAGAGTTTCCTGCCTCCCTTCCGTCAGTCCTTGCTGTGACTCTAATCCTTCTCCTAATACTTTCATTCAGCCCTCGCTCCCCACCCCAACCCTGCTCCCTCAGAAACCCTGCCCTGGGCTCATCTAGTAACGAGGACACTTGGCTGGGGTTTGTACATACACAAGTGTGTTCTTGCCTTTTAGAATATTTCCAACAACAGCTTGGGTTTGGAGGGGGCCAAGATGATCTCAGATTTCCTCCAGAAAAATATTTCTTCGCTCTGGAAACTTGAGCTTTCAGGTGAGATCACAGAACACAAGGGAGAATTCTCCAAGAGAGAGGAAGAAAAGAAGCAGGGAGAACCCAGAATCCAGTTGAACCAGAAGAGCTCTTTCTGGCCTCAGAGATCAGAATAGTGCACCTTCCTCCTGCTACACATTCATCCTTCCCTCTCCACAGCCACACTGGCTTCCTGCTTTCTTCAACAAGCCATGCCTGACCTGCTTTGCAGCACTCTTTCCTCTACTTGAATATCTGCACCCCAGATGTGTGTATGTGGCTCACTCAGCTTCCTCTCTTTCCTCACTCATGGCTCTGTTCAAATGTCATCTCCTCGGTGGGATGCTCTTGGCTGCTCTATGAAAACACCACTCTACCTTGCCATCAGTCTATCCTGTTTCTCTATCCTGTTTAGCAGTGTTTATTTCCACCTGATCCTCTGTTATATACTAATTTTGAAATTAGTTCATTATCAATGTTCCATTGAGGGAAAAGTCATATGAGAATTCTGGTACCTACAGACTTGCCCTCACTCAGGTTTGCAGATTTATGCTATCTGCAGAGTCCTGGAACCCCTAAGCCAAGAAATAAACATTAAAAAATGGTCTTGTGCTGATAAGAATCAGGAGTCCCTTTGTAAGACTCAGGCTCTTGGGATTCCCATAGATAAACCCCTACCATGGGGCTCATGATCCAAAACTGCAAAACAAACAAGAAAACATAAGAGCTGTCAGATTTATAAGGAGCAGGATTGAACCTTGAGAGGTTTGGAAAGTGGAACTGTCAGGTATAGTGAAGGGGATGACCATGGACCTTATCACCCAAACTAAGTAGGGGCAACATTAACTGCAACTGTAGGCGAGTTGGGATATCTTAGACCCAACTATCAAAGATGTTTGCTGTGATTAAGGCCATAAAAACCATGCAAGGTAAAGCAGAAGAGAGCAAATCACTGTATGTTAAAAGGCTTCTCCTCCCCTCAACATTATCAAGAAATAGAAAACAGGTAGTTTCTGAAATTAAAGATTCAATGGATAAATTCAACAGCACATTAGATACAAGTGAACAGAATTAGCAGAAACCCTATTTTATCTACCTTTCAGCATGGCAGTTTAAAATTTAGAGGATATGAAAGAAAATGATATAAAAAATGAATAGACTCAGTATAGCTAATAGGAATTCCAAAAGAACAGAATGAGTGATATTTGAATAAGTAAAAGCTGACACATTTCTTGAATTGATGAACTCTCAGATACAATGATCCTAGTAAGTCCTAAGAAAAATAAATAAAAAGAAATCTACAGTCAAATGTATCACTGAAAAAAGCACTTAAGATAAAAAGAAGAGGGGATTTAGCTCAGTGGTTCTGCCACCTGCCTCGTAAGCACAAGGTCCAGAGTTCAATCCCCGGTCCCAGAAAAAGAAAAAAAAGATAAAGAGTCAGGCACTGAAAAGTACTTAGGATACAGAGAAGATTAGGGATTCTCATAAACTTAGTGCTCTGGAAGGCTGAAGCAGGAGGATCACAAATTTGAGCCCAGCCTGGGCAATTTAGCAACTCAGTGAGACTTCATTTCAGATTTTTTCAAAAAATTTTAAAAGGGCTGGGTGTGTAGCTCAGTGAGAAAGCCCTAAGTTCAACCCCCAGTACAAAAGGAAGAAAGGGAGGAAAGAATGAAGGAAAGAAGAAAGGAAGGTGATAGGGGAAAGATGCTAGAAATATCTAGAAGAAAACATACAGAAATAGTTTACTTTTTAATATAAATGTTATTATGTATCAATTATTATTCTCTAATTTCTCTAACAAGAGGGAAACTAGTCCAAGTTTTTTGGATTTTGTTTGTTTGTTTTTTGAGACATGGTCTCTCTGTGTAGCTCAGGCTGGTCTTGAACTCACTATGTAGCCCAGGCTGGCCTCCAACTCACTGCAATCCTCCTGCCTCAGCCTCCCAAGTGCTGAGTTTGCAGGTGTGCACCACCACACCCAGCCTGGATTTCTTTCTATGAAGAACAAATAGGTTTATCTCATTTTCTGGATAGTATTCCATGATCTGGAGGTAGCATAGTTTATTTAACATCGCTATACGTGGGGAGAAGAACTTAGATCATTTGCAACTTTTCAATCTTTCAATTACTGTTTTAAAGGGCTTTCTTGAACATGCCATCTTTGGGGGGGGCGGGTACCGGGGATCGAATTCAGGACCTTGTGCTTTCGAGGCAGACGGCAGAACCACTGAGCTAAATCCCCAGCCCCAACATGCCATCTTTTAAAGGAGAGATGTTCTAGTATTTCTAAATGGACCGCCAGGAGTGTAATTACTGAATACAAAGATTATCCACTTCTATGGAGTTAAAAATTGATTTCCAAATTTCCCCTTAAGAAGCCTGTACCAGATTACAGTTCTGCCAAAGGACTGTCTTCCTGTACTGTCCCCAGAAGGGTTATTAGCACAATGTTTGTGAATCAAATGGCTCAGTGTGGAGTTGTTGAAGTCACAGTGCTGGGCTCCAAATCCCAGATTTGACACCAGTTGGTTAGTTAACCCTTTTGTGCCTTGCTTTTCTAAGGGAAATTTTATTACTCATTTCAGACAATGATTGTGAAGATTGAGTGAATTAAAAGCTAAAATGCTTAGAAGAGTATCTAGCATAAAAATATTCAACAATATTAGTCACTATTATTATCTTCATTATATTCCCACATTACTATTAAGTTGATGAACCACTGCATAGAACATCTATTGAATAGATGCTCAATACATACCATGCAATAGAACATCTTTTCAGATATTTGTTTCCTCTTTTATTTCTCTTCTATGAAATGTCAGTTGTAATACATAGTTATTTGTAGAACAGAATGTTAAGCATTCTTTCTAAGCTGCAGGTATTCGTATTTGCAGGTCAGATAGAGAAGGGAACATTAAAGGAAATGGTAAACAGTTTCTCCTATTTTCTTGTGTCTACATATTTTGCTTTAAGTTCTCATCATCTTTTCTGTGTTTGGTTGTTCTGAGGGAAGAGAACTGATAGGGCTATGGCATGGGAAGGGAACCTTGATCGGGAGTACATTGCTAACACAGCACCCTCGTTACAGGAAATAACTTCAAGGAAGAATCTGCAGCCCTCTTATACCAAGCCCTGTCGGTAAGGGGTAGGGGGTGGGGCCAAGTCATACGGGAAAGGGGGTTCCTGGGGGGTTGGGTGAAACTGAGAACTGCTGTAGGCATAGTGAAACAAGGCCACCAACATGGCTTAGGAAGCTGATGAATTTTTTACCTCTGCCAACCCCAGCAAAAGTAGCAGCAAGTAGTAGGATTTTCAGGATGGCACCAAATTTTCCCAGCAGCCATCAACTATTAAACAAAAAATTAACAAATTGTTTTTAGGGCTGGGAATGTAGCTTGGTGGTAGAGCATTTGCCTAGTATGTGTGAGGCCCTGGGTTCAATCCCTAGCACTGCAACAACAACAACAACAAAGGGAAGGCAGGAAAGAAAGATTGTTTTACATTGCTTTCAGCCTATGAATCCTAGCCCACCTAGTTTTTGGAACCTGAGAGCTCTCCAGCATACTGCCCTGGGGTAAGTGGGTAAGAGAATTATAGGCAGAAGAGAAAAAGAATCTCTCCTTCCCCTGTTTATTCCTCTAGGCCAATTACCGAATTAAGAAGCTGAATCTCAGTCACAATGAGTTCTCTGATAAAGGAGGGGAATACCTGGGTCAGATGCTGGGTATGTTCCCAGGAAGGGAAGGGGAAGGATTGGGGGAGGATCACCTATCACTGTTGAATCTCCCTTTATTTTTAAATTATTTTTTAATGTTCATATTACAAAAGTGCTGTACACCATGTCCAAAATACATTTTAACTGAAGCAAACACCTACATGTGAGAAGTAAACCTTTCCAAAGATTAGAAAAACATATGGAGATGCAACTTGCTGACCTCAAGGAGACAAACAATTATTCTGTGTGGCACAGTGGGCATAAAGTCAAAGGAAAACAACTCATATGTTTGACAACAATACATTAAACCATGTGTATGGTAAAAACACTATGGACAACCTTAAAACTAGCAACAGACAAGAAATGAATATTTACGGCATTTGTATAAATATAAAAGATTACTGTTCAGATTATTGTAAAAGATCCTGTAGATTACCAGCTGCAGAGACATGGACCTATAATCCCACCCGCTTGGGTGGCTGAGGTAGGAGAATTGTGAGTCTGAAGGCAACTTGGGCAACACACATAACAAGACCCTGTTTTTAAAAAAAATCTATAAACCAATTAGAGAACGATACATTCTCCTAATAAAAGAATAATCAAAATACATGGGCACTGAAAGAAGAGAGTCAACTGCCCAACCTCAGAAATAAAAAAATGCAAAATAAAATAACTTAAAGATTCCCCTTATAGGGCCGGGGATTTAGCTCAGTGGTTCCGGCACCTGCCTCGCAAGTGCAAGGTCCCGAGTTCGATCCCTAGTACCAAAAAAAAAAAAAAAAAAATTCCCCTCGTCCTCTGTCAAAGCTGCAGATTTAAAGTCAATAACTATCAAACACTGCAGTCGGGAGAAATACAACTACTCACAAGGCGCTAGATAAAGGCACTGTGGAGAAGGACTGGGCAGTACCTGGTGAAATGGAAACGTGTACATTCTGTGAAGCCATGTTCTGCTTTACACAGCTCAGAGACTCCATCAAGCATAAGGTCCTGAGTTTGATCCCTGGTACAAAAAAAAATAAAATAAAATAAAATACTTAGGGCAGAGATCCCATCACACACCCACAGAGAGATGGCTGATTAGGTTACTGCAGCATTGTTATAAAAAGGAAAAGAAATAGATCAACCTGGATGGTCACCCCTGGGCAAGTGAGTAAGAAAAAGGATGATATTCCTAGACTGTGTGTTGACTGGAGAGGAGAGAAAGCCCCTCAGGGAAGGGAGCCTTGTGCTGAGACTTGAATAACAAAGAAGAAATCATGTACTGAGTTCTGGGGGTGCAGCATTTCAGGCAGAAAAAACGGAGCATGGTATGTTCATGTTTGAGGACACAGAGGACAAAGTGTCTGGGACAGAGGACTGGGTGGCTGGAGCAGAGAGGAAAAAGGAGACTGGAAGGGGCAGAGGGCACAGACATGGCCAGTGGTCAGACGGCCTCAGACCTCAAGGGCCATGTTGAGGACCAAGTCTGGGTTCTGTTCCACATGGAAGGAGTCACTGGTGAGTGGTACATGGAGGAGGGACAGGGTTTGTTTTGCAGATGTGGAACTGCTCTGTCTGTGGTTTGAAGAATGCAATGGAAGAGAACAAGAATGGAAGACAGGATAGCAATTAGGAGGCTGGGGGGTAGTCTCAGGAAGACAGGACAACCAGGCGAGCTCAGGGAGGAGGTAGAGATAGGAGGGGAAAGATTCAGAAGGTATTTGGGAGTCAAGCTAAAAGGACTTGCTGAAGGGAGGGAGGGAGAGGTAGAAATAAATCCAATTGGTGGTCATTTTGATTTAGCTGCTGGCTGGATAATAGTGTCATTTACCAAGATGGGGAAACTCAGGGAGTAGCAGCTACAGTGGGGCCAGAGTTAGAAGTCAGGTTTTCATTTTAGCCATGCAGCTTTGGCAGTCGATGGCCATTCGACCCCTGCCTGGAAGTCAGGTAGACGATCTGCTGTATGAGGTTAGAGCTTGGGGAAGAGGTCAGAAAGGCACATTTAGGAGTGACAGGTATGAAGATGCATTTTAACCCTTGGGACAGGGTGAGGTCTTCTCGTCAAGGTGTGTAGAGCTGAGCAGGGGCACTTGCTGACCCCAGTCACCCCACGGTGTTCAGGTTGAAGAGAGGAGGAGAGCGAGTCTAGGAAGGAGAGGTCCGGCAGTAGGAGGAAAGCCAGGAGGGTGCGGGCTCAAGGAGCTGAGTACGGGAGCCGGTTAAGGAGGAGGAAGCAGTCAACTGTGTCAGATGTGGCTTAGAGGTCAGGAAAAAAGAATGACCCAGGGCTTGGCAGCATGGAGAGAGTTGGCAATTTGGCGACCATTGTTTTGGCGAAGTGGCTGACTATGGGAGCCCAGCTGGAGAACGTTGGTTGAAAATAGGGTGCGCAGAGGGAGAAAAGGCACCTTGGGCAACTGGGGAAGGGCGGGGCCAGGGGGACAGGGTGAGAGCCAGAGGAAGACAAGCAATCCAGAGAGGATTTTTAAGGCTGAAAATGCTGAAAGGAGAAAAAGGAAAAGACTGATCCCGCAGAAGAACGAGAGGACAAATCATGCTTGAGAGGTTGGCAGCGACGTCCAGGACCGAAGAGGGGAGAAGATGCGTGACGCCTGGTGCATGGGCAGCGGAGAGGAGAGAGCTGGTGCTGAAAGGAAGGGAGCTCCCGCTCCTGCAGTGCAGCGCGAAGACAGTCTTCCCCTAAGAAGATTAGGATGAAGGAGAAGGAAGACAGAACGAGGGAGCAGCGATGTGTTCAGGGACTGTCTGGCAATTGAGTTTCCGCTTTGCCAATTTCCTTTCTTCTTTTTTTTAGATGAGGTCTCAAATTGCCCAGGCTGGGCTCAAACTTTCAATTCTCCTGCCTCAGCCTCCCAGAGTGCTGGGATTACAGGTGTGGGTCACCATGCCTGGCTCTTAAAAATATTATTTTTAGGGTTACCAAGTATTAGATCATATGGCATAACCCATAAGGCACATGGGTTGCATTTTATATCATCCTCCCAAAAACACTGTATAGGTGAAGACTTTGTTTTACAGGTGAGGAAAAGATAAGCAACCTGCCCGAGGTCAAACAGATAGTAGATCAGCATTCAGGTTCAAATTGTGCGGCCAGGAAGGAGATGCAGACACGGAGGCATAGCTTTGATGAGGGAACTGGCAGAGGAGGGGAAATAAGGGTAAAAGAGAGGGAGCCGGGCATGATGGCGCACGCCTGTAATTCCAGCACTTGGGAGGCTGAGGCAGGAGGATTGCTGGGCATTTGAGGCCAGTCTGGGCCACAGAGTGAGTTCAAGGCCAGCCTGAGATATATAGTGAGACCCTATCTCAAAAAAACAAAAAACAACAATTTAAAAAAAGTGAAGGAAAGAGGGAACAGAGAGAGAATGAAGGCAGGAGAACATTTGTCCTCAAAATAATGCAAGGTACAATCTACTGAAATACATTCTTGTGGTTAACACACAGAGAGGGACAGGACTGATACATAACACACTGCCCAAAGCCTGAAGGGTATTCCTGCTGCAGTAAATGGTTCCAGAGGCCTTCAGCCTCTCCTGGCAATGGTGGCCCAGAATAGCCAGCCTCCCCAAATAAAAACAACAACAATAATGTGCTTAAATAGGAAAGTTTCCCAGCCATATGGAGCACACAAGCAAAATCATGTTCTAATTTTAAAAAAAAAAGTATAATCTCTGCATAAAGCCAGATCCCCAACAGGCCTGACGCCTCCCTCCTCCAGCTGACTGTGTCCCTGAGGCCACCCGGGAGACAAGTTCCACACAAGACATTGTGTAGTGTGATACACTACATCCATACATACGGCCTGGAAGGTGTTTCCCATGCTATCTGCATTTGTTTTAATGGTTGCATAACAATCCGCCAAGCAGGTATATATGAGTCACAAATCTTACCTTTATTAGGAAAAGAGAGCATACATTTTTTTTTTTTTTTTTGGTACCGGGGATAGAACTCAGGTCCTTGCACTTGCAAGGCAGGCAGCAGAACCACTGAGCTAAATCCCTGGCCCTAGCACACATATTTTAATGGGAAAATATCTGTGCTCCCATAATATTTGCCAGATAGATTATGCCAATTTACTTGCCACCTGTGGTAATATAGTCTTTCCTAACATTGGGGATCATCTTACCATTTTGTGTTTAAATAAATGAAAATTGTTACCTGAGTGTTTTGCTTTGCACGGCACTGAGCAGTCCTGTGAACTCTGAGGCTGGGTTCTTTGGATATGCAGGGTGCCTAGCTGACCCCTTCTCTCTCCCAGCCCTCAATGTAGGGCTCCAGTCGCTGGATCTGAGCTGGAATCACTTTCACGTTCAAGGAGCTGTGGCCTTGTGCAGCGGTCTGCAGGTAAGGTGCTCACTGAGAGGGGTACATTGAGCCCAGGTGAGGATGTCCAGGACCTCCTCTCCTGCCATCTTGCCCCCCCCGCCCTCACGGTCACCATGGATGAGGGCACACTGAGCTCTCACTGGATGTTTCTGGAGTTGTTGTTCTCCCACAACTCCCGTACCATTACTTCTTGTATAAGTCCCTCCTGCTGAGGCCTGTTTGGTATCTTTAGGCACACCCCAAGAGGACACCTTAATTAAAGAGTAGGGAATGATCAGAACCCAAATGGAGGGAGTCTCAAAAGACTCTGGGCCTAGCTGGGGAGAATCTGGACACTTCAGGCAGATCTGTCTCTCCCAGAACCACTGAGAGCTTGGTCTAGATATGAGCAGTGGGTAGAGGTGAGGGCATTTGTTGGGGTGAGTCACACACAGCCTCGATACTGATGCTGCTTCCTCTCCCTGGAGGCTAACGTGACCCTGAAGAAACTGAATCTGTCCATGAATGGCTTTGGGAATGAAGGGGCGCTGGCCCTTGGGGAGGTCCTCAGACTCAACAGCTGCCTGACCCATGTGGATGTCAGTGGCAACAACATCAGCAGCAAAGGGGCCTCCAAACTCAGCAGTGGACTGGAGTACAATGAAACCCTCCAAGTGCTGAAGGTAGTCTCTCCTTGAACTGGGAACAAGCCTTCATGTCTGTGTGTATGTGTGTGTGTGTCTGTGTGTCCGTGTGTCTGTGTGTACATCTGTAAGTGTGCGTCTGTGTCCATCTGCGATGGAGTTGGGGCAGCAAGGTTACATGGCTAGGTGTTGCTGGAGAGAGTGGTCAGGAACATCCATCTTGTACTTCCTGTGTGCCTATATTTATGTCCACCTCTCTGCTGTAGACCCAGTGCTACCTCAGCTTTCCCTGGTATGCCCCAGCCATCTCCTAATATTCCGGAATCACAGAAAGAAATGTACGGAGACACAGAAGTTGGGTAAAAAAAACAAACCCTTTACCCACTAGTGAGGAGGACTGCCAGAAACTGGTCTAATCAATGTGCGCCCTGTCCTTTGTTTTAACATTTCCTTTTATATCTTCTTTTAGCCATTACTTCATTTCTGGTGGTCTTAGTCAGTAAAATTTGTTTCTCTTTTACAACTAGTTCCTGTTAATGGTTACAGTCACAGGCATATAACAAACAGATGGCGCCTAAAACACATACATTGTAAACTACCCAAACATTTCTACTTTGCTTTTCTCCAGGTTAAATGTTATCCACAGTTAGGTTACAGGTCAAAGGTTCAGTTAGCCATCACCTTAAACAATAAGAGTTACGGGAAAGGTAAATCTTAAAGGAACCAATTACTTATTCTACTTCAGCTACCTTAATAACTAACCTATAGTTTAAATTTTCTCTATCACTAACTGGTCTTTCTTCCTCCCTGCTGGTGTCTCTCAGGTTTTCCTCCACACTGAGGGTGGGTTAACACACAGAGAGGGACAGGATTGATAAATAACATACTGCCTGAAGCAGTGTGGGCAGAGTGTGCTTTGAGAACACAAATTTGACTTTTATTCCCCACCACCACCTGCTGTCTTCCATCTAAAACCCCCTGGAGCATTCATTTGCTCAGATTCATTTCTCTGGTCCCTGCGAGCCCCTCCTGCCTCAGTCCACCCCATGCTCTCCCTTGCTTTCCACTCAAGGCCTCCTGGTCTTCCCCCGTTTCTGCCTAGCACAGGGCCTTAGCTTGCCATTCTCCTCACTTGCTTTAATTGCTGCTCTGCTGCAGGGCGCAACTCACCAGCTGTTCTGCAGAGAAGCCTGCTGGGTCTCCCAACCAGGTGACCCATTCCCAGGACCCTGCTCACTCCTTCAGGCAAGAACCTGCTGTCCTCTATAATTGTATTCTCTCCCACTTGAGTGATTATTCGATCTTCTATTGTCCCACAGTGTGCCAGCTTCATGAGAGCAAAGATTGTGTTTGGTTTGACCCATTACTGTAACCTCACAGTGACTTAGCCTTGTGCCAGGAATGTAGTAGACACCCAGTGAATATGTACTACTTGGATGGATGAATGGATTCATTTTCCATTAATACACTTCTACACACTGATGTGTAACATAGCTGGTGGGCAGTTTGAGAGGTGAAAGAGGAGGACTTCCAGTAAAAGTGCCCCTCTGGGCCTCCTGCCATGCCTGGAACCAGGAGAGGTGCTGCATCTCCCACATCCCAGCCTTACAAGTGGGTCTCTACCAGCTCCACTTGTCAGATGAGGAAACTGAGGCTGCATGGCTTACTCAGGCCACACAACTAGCAAGAGGCAGAGAGTAGCCAGCTCCACCTGGCTTTTCATAGCAACTTCAAGTCCCTCAGAAAGTAGGGGTGGGTAGGGAAATAATAGATGTGACAGCCTCAGTGGCCAGAGCGTGGACAAGCAGACACAGTGAGGACAAGCCTGCCATCCGAGAGGACCACCATACCCTCAGAGGCTGGGAATGATTCAGCCTCAGAGAGAGCCCAGTGACACTAAGGAAACTTCTGAGAACCTGAATTGAATAAGGAGTTGCCCCAAACCGTGGTGGCACACATCTGTAATCCCAGCTACGTACTTAGGAGGCTGAGGCAGGAGGATTGTAAATTCAAGGTCAGCCTGGGCAGCTTTGTGAAACTGTACCTCAAAATAAAATAACAAGGGCTGAAGATGTAGCTCAGTGGCAGATCACTCGCCTACCATGCTCAAGGACCTGGGTTTAATTCCCAGTACTGCTAAAAAAAAAAACCAGTAGAAAGAGAGAGGGGGAGTTGTACTCTAAGCCAGCCTCTCCTGCCCCCATCTCAGCTTCTTCCTGACTCACCTCTCCTCCCACAGCTCTTCCTGAACCCTATAAGTATGGATGGGGCTGTTCTACTTATCCTGTCCATCAAGAAGAACCCCAAGTCTAAGATGGAAGAGCTTGACATTTCTGTAAGTGATCCACCCTGGCAATTCTGTAAGCGGTCACTTTCTGGCAGGCCGTGGCGGGAGTGCACCTGACAGGGAGAGGTGGAGTAATGAGACAACAAGACAGAGACCAGAGGAGTCTTGCTCCCTCGTAACTGAGGTCGCAGTGACCCTGTCACCTTGCATTAGGCTCTACCCCTGAAAGACCCCACCAGCTCTCACATTGCCACACTGGACACCAAGCTTCCAACAAACAACCCCTTGAGAAACAAACCACATGCAAACCACAGCATGGCCTTTTCCTGCCCTTTCGCCTGCTATGCTGTCAAGTCCAAAGGGTGCTGGAATCCCTGCTCCCTCCTGGGACCTTCTCCAGAACATCTATAGTCTTCATCCTGCAAGCACGAGTCTCATTCTTTGAGAAGGCAAAACGTACTCAGAACCACATGTGGGGGATGGCACAGGTTGACTGAGCTGGTGGAAGCCAGGTTTGATGGAATACTATTTCCCAGGAGACATTTCCCCTGTGCCTCATAAACCAGCTCTGAGGGCACTTCCAAAGGAGAGCTCCCAGTTTGTTTGAGCCATGGCAGGATGGTGGGAAGGAGGGATCCTCTCCCTGGGCACCTACCTAGAAGAACTACACTTGTGTCCAAATGGATCAGCACTCAATGCAAACACTCAATGCAAAAAAATCAAAATCATGTAGGAAACCCACAATCAAATCCACAAGTTCTAAAACATCAGAACTATCCCAGTCGAGGAGACTCACTGCCGAACAACCAGAAAAGATAGTGCTTCTGAACTTGGCAGGGGTGTGGGGTTGGTCTGGTTGGGCAGGGAGATAACATAGTGGCAGCATCCTCACCATGGCCCCATTTGTCCCTGCTATAGAACGTGGTGGTAACTGAGCAGTTCTCGAAAATCCTGGATGGGGTGTATGCCGTCCATCCCCAGCTGGACGTGCTGTATGACACAGTGAAAGGCCTCTCTGGCAAGAAACAAGCCCTCTCCCTGCGGATGAAACCCATGAAACTGATCCAGGTGAGCGCTGCTTTCCTCTCAAGACTCTGGCCCCAAATCAGGCCCCCAGTGTTTCCCCTCCCCAAAGTGTCTGTGGGAATCTTTTTAACAAGGGATATTCCCTGCGCGTATTGGATCCCTGGTGGTACTTCCTCCTCCCCAGGAGGAAATTGCTGAGCTCTGGCTGAAGTGGATGGAACTTGGCCCAGGATAGCATCTACCATGTGGGCCCGCAGTTTATTAATATAGTCCAAAGGCAAGTCGCTGAGACGCTCTGTGCTGCAGTCTTTGCCCCTGTAAAATGGGCATAACAATAGTAGCCACCCCAGTAGGGCTGTTGCAGAGATTTAGTTATTTAATACACATGAAGTTCTTAGAGCAATATCTGGCATATAATAAGCACCCAGTAAACGCAGGCTCTCTGGCACTGGTAAGGATGTCCCTCAGGACGGCTATATGGTGGCTTCAGCTAAAAAGAGACATTTGAGTCCTTTTTTTCTAACCAGCATCTGGCTCCAGTCTTAGATTGTCTCTTGAAAAATCACAGGCAGTAGATGTAACTGTGAAAATATAACAATTTGAGAACATTAGAACTGAAAAGGGTGCTGTGCCTGCTAGGATGGTGAGCAGAGCCAGCTCTGGCATTTGTCGCCAGTGGTAGGGAAGGCATCTGCTGCTGGTTGCTGTCTGGGGATAGGAACAAGACTGAGGCTGTGCAAATGCAGATTCTGCAGGTGTGTCCCCTGCCCTGATTGGTCTGCTCTGTGCATCCGCTTCCAGAACTAAAGAAAAAACCTCTTGCATGCAAATTATCGTTGTGTGAAGAGCTCTAGAAGGCCAAGGGGCATCAGGTGTGTTTGAGAACAAGACAACTTTAGATGAGAGCAGGGGAAACCTGTTTTGCAAGGGGTGCAGGATGCTCCAGGAAACAGGCAAGGAGTTATCTGATGCAAATGTGAAATGAGGGCCCCACCCAGCTGGGCGTGGCAAATGTAGAGCCAAAGTCACAGATGCCGCTGGGTCTCCAGCACAGTTAAAAAAAAAAATTATAGAAAAAGAATCTTGGGGTAGAGACCAAAGAAGACATGCAATGTAAAATATATTCCTTCCCTTGGGGCAACAGGCTGGTTGGAAAGGTGGGATCCATTCAGTAATGACCAATAGAAAAGGTCACCCGATCATAAAAGGTGACAGAGGCAGACATAGATCTCCCAAGTGGAGATCTAGCATTGGGCAGGCAGGAAAAGGTGGCTTCCTGCAGAAGTGGGGCAGGAGGAGCAGGAAGGATTCTGGGAGCCAGAGGGTATGGGAGTGTTGCAGGAAGGGGTTGTTGACATCCATGTGGTTCCCACTTACAGAGAAACCTGGAAACCAAAGCTGAAGAGGGAGGCTGGGCTAAAAGTGGTGCCTTCAGACTTCCTGCTCCAAGCTGGGGGTTGATTCTGTTGGATTAGGGAGCCAGTGAGAACTGTTGAGCAGCAGATCCAATGTGCACTCAGCACGGCCAAGGGCCAAGTTTTGTCTGAGAATGACAATGGAAGTGAAGGACAGATGTAAGAGATGTCATAAGGGCTGGGTGTGGTGGTGCACAACTGTAATCCCAGCACTATTGGCAGGCTGAAGCAGGAGAATCACAAGTTCAAGCCCATCCTGGGCAACTTAGCCACTTAGTGAGACCCTGGCTTGAAGTAAAAAATAAAAATGGACCGGGGGTGTAGCTCAGTGGTTCTGCTGCCTGCCTCACAAGCACAAGGTCCCAAGTTCAATCCCTGGTGCCAAAAAAACAAAAAACAAAAAAGTGTTCACCATGTGTTAGTGTAGTGCATTTTGTAAAATAGTAGAAAGATGGATGACAGATAGACAGAAAAAATGGTAGGATAGGATTTATGAGTTATTTTTTATTTTCTTCATTCTGCTAATCTAAAAATACTTTCCAATATGAGTAGTATTTTGAAAGAAAAACAAATTTTTTTTTTTTTTTTTTTTGCAGTACTGGGGAATTGAACCCAGGGCCTTTTTACTGAGCTACATCCCAGCCCTTTTGTTATGTTTTGAGGCAGGATCCTAAATTGCCACATTGCCTGGGCTGGGCTTGAACCTGCAATCCTCCTGCCTCAGTTCTCCAGACGGCTGGGATTACAAATATGCACCACAACTCCTGTCTTGAAATATTATTTTTAAAGTATTCTAACAAATTGTTCTCTGTATGTGCATTTGTGGGGATCTGTGAGAACCCCGGGAGTTTCTTGTTTGTCCAGCCACAGGCAACATGGCAGTGGTCTTGTCCTGTGACCTCTGAGCTAACAACAGCTCAGCTCCTCCTCACAGGGCTGTCTATACCAGTCTTAACTGAGTTATTTCAAACCTGAGTAATGTATGTAGAGAGGACCGCCATCATGACCCCTGGGTGCTGTGGCACCTGAACAACATGGTCTTAAACCTGTTAGCCGATGGGTGGATGGGATGGATAGAGCCACTGCTCAGTGAGCCTCACCCTCAGCCTGCATGGGGCCCTTGCTCTTAAACAGCCACTAATGCCAACACTGAGTGCCTGGAGCTGCTGAGTCTCCTTCTGCCCTTCCCTCAGCCTCTGACCGGGTGGGTTCGGGCCCTTGGGGAGGGGGGCTGGAGGGAGAGACAGCTGGATAAGGCATGTCCTGCCTCTCGCAGAGCTACGCAGACCAGCACAAAATTCCACTTGTGGATTTCTTCAAGAGCTTGAACCCCACCAGAGCAATGGAGATGCCAGTGAGCGAGTTCCAGAGAGCTCTGCTACAGGTGCTGGGTCCTGAGTGTGTGTGCATGTGTGTATGCGTGTGTGTCAGTTAATGTGTGTCATGTGCATCTACCAACTCCCCGTGTTGAACGTAATCATTATGTACAGGAGACATATACTAATGGGGGCAGGAATGAAGCAGGGGGAGGTGGGGGGGGAGGGAAGAGAGCGCAGCATACGCTCACAGAGCTTCCTGGGACTGGCTGTAGACGCTCACCTCTTTTATCTTGACCAAGAGGGAAACCCTAGCCCTCCCTTAACCCCCTGCCGAAGTCCTTCTCTGTGCTGCGTGGCCCAATGCCACTGATCGCCCAAGATACCACACATTCTTCACCTTGCAGTTCCTCCTCCCCACTGCATTTGGCTACTGGGAAGTTGAGAAAAAAGACTGAGAGAAGCAGTGACCCCATCCAACTGCAGGGCTCCAGGAGTCCCTGCCTAAAAGCCCACCATCTCCTAAACCCCCCTAGACAACAAAGGTGCTGAAGGCCTCCTGAGATGCACACATGATGGTCCATCACCAGAGCATCCTAGGAGGGCACTGGGCCCAGGAGGGGACATTCGGGGTTCTGGGTAGTCCAGGCCGGGATAGATAAGACACTTGGTCCCCAGAGCCATGATCAAGAGGCCCGGCCAGAACTCAGAGCTGAGAACAAGATTGACATTCATGTGCTGCGACGGAGCGGTCCTGTCTACCCAGGGCCACCTGCATGCCCTGGACCCTGATCTCCTCCAGCCTTATTGCTCCCCACAAATGGGAGTCCTCTGGAGTCTGAGCAAGGACCCATGGACAGAGGCTTCCTGCAACCCCTCCGAGTGGGGAGTTCGGTCTGCTCTGAGCTCTCAGTCGCTACCCATGGTCCCCAGAGGAGTGAGATGTCCCAGGTGTCACTGGAGATGGGGTGAGCGGAAAGCTCTGTAACGTTCTTATCCATGTCCTCAGCAAAACAAGGTCCCTATGAACCAGAACCAAGTTGGGGAGCTGATGAAGAAGCTGGAGGACAGCAAGGGCATGGTGAACTTCAGGTGAACCCAGGCCCCGTGCCTTTCCCCTGCTCCCCAAGGTGCCCTGGGATGGGCATGACTGCTGGGGCACCAGGCTGTGTGCCATGAGGGAGAGCCTCCTCGCCTGCAGCAGCCCCATCCCTGTCCACCTTCTTCTCATCCGCAGCTCCTTTATGTAGTGAAGCTTGGGCCTCGGTCGTGCCCTGGGGGCCAGGCCAGACGCTTCCACCCACAAGAGAGGGACGAGGTGCACCTGCTCAGGCCCTGCCCAGGTGAGAAGAGGAACTGGGGTGTGTGCCAGGTGCCCGGCCAGGGGTGCTGATGTTTCAGCTGGATCTGACAAGCCCAACAGACACACACAAGAGGGCCAAGGGGCAGCAAGCACTGTCTCAGAGCTCTGGGTCCTGCAGTGCCCAGGTTCCAACAGGGCCCGAGTGCAGTGAACTCCTTCAGTGTGCAGACAGAGTCAGATGGCCCAGAGATGGAACTGGGGCCTGAGTCTCCTAGTCCCCAGGTGGGGGCTCTCAGGGCCTTCTCCAATTGCACCTCAGTATGCCTACATGGCTTTGTCGATTCTGTTGGAAGAGCAGAGTTGTAGGTTTGTTGCTGCATGAATCTTTTCCCTTTTTTGTTACAAAAATCTATCTTTTTGTAAAAATCTAAATCTACCGACATATAGCAAAGAGAAAATGAAGGTCCTCTTAAATCCCCCCCCCCCACACACAGTTCACTCTCCCTCCTTCCTCAAAGGGCTCTGGGAACAAGTCCAGGAGAGCATTTTCATGTCCTTGTAACCTTGTAACTCTTTGTGTGTGTGTGTGTGTGTGTGTGTGTGTGTGTGTGTGTGTGTGTGTGCGCGCGTGTGTGTACATACATACGTGAGTGTAGATGTGAGGAAGAAAATACTTAAAAGCATGGGGCTCTAGGGTCGGCTGCCTGAGTTCTAATCCTAGCTCCATTCCTGTGCAACTTTGGGCAAGTCACCCAGTCTCTCTGTGCCTCAGTTTCCTCATCTGTATTATGGAACCAATAATAGTACCCACAGCACAGGAGTTTTTAAGGATCAAATGAGTTCATGCCTGGAAGGCATTTGGAAGGTAAACTCACAGCACACATATATTCTTATTACAAATTGTTTTACACACAGGCACAGGCAGTTTTTAATCATGAATAGAATCAGACCTCTGAACTTGTTTTACCTTAACAGTACAACTTGGTGATCTTTCAACATTGGTACATTTAGATCCATCTAAGTCTTTTTTTGTTTTTTGGTACCAAGGATCAAACTCAGGCCACTCAGCCAAATCCCCAGCCCCATCTTGATCTTTTTAACTGCCCCATAATTTAGTCTCATTTTCATGGGCATTGGAGTTAGTATTTAGCTGCTACAAATAGCAGTCACATACAGACACGTGTATAATGTTTGCACACACACGTCCCCCTAAAGCAGGCTTGTGGGGTACACCCAACATGGCTGGGTCAGTGTGCAGATTCTAAAATGTAAATCTCCGGATCCAGACCAGTCATGTAAATCAGTGCTGCAGCCCCGGACCGACACTGAATTTAACCTACATTCAACCTTCTGCCAAGATGTGAGGGAGTTTCCTAAATGGCCTCCTCCAAACTTGAGCCGACCTATCATTCTCCCCCATCAGCCAGGAGGCTGTGTTGGCCCTCCTCCTTATTCCATTACCTTTCAAACCAGTTCCTTCAAAGTGCAGAAGTCATAGCAACAAGTGTGGTCTGGAAAGAAGTCCTGCAGGAGAGGAGTCCTGGCAAGGGGGATGGTGGCAGCGAGGAGACTAAAGGAGATGAACGGCATGGCCAAGTCTGGGAGCAAGCAAATAAAGTCTGGCTTGGTTCTGGGCGTCCCTGGGCTGCTGGTGTTGCGCCCTTCGTGGGAGCAGGGGGCCTTCTTCTTTTAGGACCACCGGCAGGCAAGTTCTGGGTGGCCTCGTTACAAGCCACAAAGACAAACTGGGACTGTGATGGACTTGCTGGGCAGAAGGGAAAGAGCCACCAGGAAGAGGTCAGAGCACAGAAGCAGTTGTTCCAGGGTGGGAGGTAGGGGCAGAGGACACAGGGACTGAGCAAAGGAGGGAGGGACCTTTGGAAGCCAATCCCAAGGGTCATATGCAGGGAGTCCAGGGCAGGAGATCAAGAGACCTGGCACCTAGTTGTGGCCCAGCTCCACCTGGTGTGTGGCCTTGGAGCCTCAGTGGTTCCACCTGAGAAATGGAAGCAATGAAATGAAGGCTTCCTGATCCGTTCCGGAACTCAACTCTTCTCTTCCCCTCCCTTCCCTTCTCTCTTTTCTTTCTTTCTTTCTTTTTTTTCTTTTCTTTTCTTTCTTCTTTTCATGGGACCCAGAGCCTGACCCATGCTAGGCAAGCACTGTATCACTGAGTCACATTCCCAGCCCTGTACTGAAGCCACATCCCTATCCCATTTTAAATTTTATTTTAAAACCAAGTCTTGCTATATACCCAGGCTGGCCTCAAACTTGCCACCTTCCTGCCTCAACCTCCCAGTAGCTGGGATTACAGGCCTGCACCACTGGCGCCCAGCCTAAAGGGTTTTGATTAACCTGGCCAGTCACCATGGTGGACCGACAAGGGCAGGCACGGGATCAGGTGGCCACCGGGGTTTCCCTGACCAGCAAGCACTGCAGAAGGCTCACTCCTGAGCCACTCTTCAAGGTGAATTTCCATGCACCGGGTGGTGAAATAGGAATTCAGAATCAAAATCAGGATGATGAAAATAAAAGAAGCTGAAGCAACAAGGAATTTATGGGCTGCAGCTCACCAGTCACATCAAGTGCTCTGTCCTCGCCTGTCCTGTCTGCCCAAAGAAAGCCAACTCTTTGAAGTCAGGAGTCGTGTCTTCCAAATCTCTCATAACCCATAAAATTCTCTATGTTCTCTGCCTATAACCAAGCACCCAAAAGCTGTTGGGATCTGGGTGAGACCCTAAGAATTATGGGGCCCAGAAGGAGTGGCCATGAAGCATCCAAATGTATAGAGCAAATTGCAAGCCTGTAATGGTTATGGATCAATAAAACTGCGATTTTTTCCAAAATACTTCTCATCTTTTATGTAACATTGAAAAGACAACAATTATTCTTCCTTATTTTTGTTTGAGCAGGTTTGGGGAATGAAGGGATCATGGTGGGCTAAAACCTATCCCTGCCACCCCCGGTCCTGCAGGCCACCCCTTGTCTCGGTCTGACCCTCCCTAGGTAAGCGAGGGATGGACCGCCAATGCCCAAATTGCCCGGGCCCTGGGATCTTCCCCAAAGGTGAAGTCATTCCTGCTTATGGTCACTAGGTGTCAGGTCAGCTCCAAAAATCCTAGTGAGAGCTGGGCTTTGAGGAGTTCGCTAAATTTCAAATCTGCCCTGCACTTCCTCTGACCCCCACCCCCGCCCCAGCTTCTGCCCCAGGACCCCAGCCTGAAATCTGAGCCCCAAAGCTCCAGCATCTGACCCCTGGGCAAGCCTTGCCAAGGCCTGTGTTCTCATTGTTCCCATCATAACTCGGGGTTATCGAGGGCTACTTTGCATCCTTGCTTATGAGAAGGAAAATTGGGCGCCCAGGCAGAGCTCTAAAAATAGTTAGTGCCCCCTGGGCAGCTCACTCGGAGCAAGGTGACCTGCAGAGAGGAGACAGCTCCACCTGCTTGGGCCCAGCCTGACAAGTCAGGGTCCCCAGCAGGAGCTGCAGTGCCTTCACAGACCATGGCAGGAGCAGAGGGACCTTGTAGCCAGAGCTATCAAGGTCGGAGATGGCTGAAAGGCCCTGGCCCATCCTCTGAAGGTGGTCAGGCTGCACCCCGGGAACCAGCAGCCCCTCCCTCCATGCCCAACTCCATTCGTCTTGATGCACCAGCGGTGCATTCCCCCGGGGCTCCGTGCAGAGAAGATTGTTGACAGTTGGGGACATGGAGGCATGGAGAAGCTAAGCTCCCGCCCAAGATCCTCCAACTAGTGGTGGGCAAAGGCAAGAAGCACCCCGAGGTCTTAACCACCATACTTCCCAGCCCCTCTCTGGTGAATGGGGGGCGGCTGCACTCTCTCCACTGGCTTCCTTTCTGTAGCACAGAGAGAAATAAACGGATAGCAGATGCACTCTGGCCAGGCTGAACTGGCCAATAGGAGGGACTCAAAGGAGAGCTGGAGATGCTCTGTTGCGGCCAAGGGCAGACTGATGTGCCCTCCTGCCCACCTGCCTGGCTCTGATGCTCCAGATACTGCACATGAGGAGGTAAGGTGGGAGGGAGGGGGCTGTGGACCTTCTCCAAGCACTTACCCAGGTGAATCCTGACATTTCATGGTTGTAGTTTCGAATTCTGTTGGCTTTACCAGTTACCAGTTCTGTGACCTTGAAACATCACCTCTCTGCCTCTGTTTCCCCATCTGTAAAGGAGAATGATGACAGTATCCCTCCTTCACAGGTTGCTGCGAAGATTTAATGAAACCACGCACACAGACACCCAGCCCAAGGTCAGGCCTGCAGTGGCTCATTACAGTGGTGCCCCACTGCTCAGACTGGGCTTCCCCCACCAGGGCACAGCAGGGTCCAAACAGAGCAGCTGTCTCTGGCACACCAAGCACTGGGCCTTGGGAATTCCCTGGGAGGTATTCCAACCTCGGGCCATGGCTTTGGGCTTCCGTGACAAAGAAGGATTCACCCAGGGTCTTAAGAAGAATCAGAGGGAGGAAGGGGAGCGGGGCCAGCAGCACTTCTGAGGTGGTCTAGGCAGTGCAGGCTCCTAGCAGGAGACACCATGTACATCCTGGCTGCCTTCCCAAACTCAGGGACACCCCACCTTCTGCGTCTTAGGGAAGGCAGCTAGGACCCGGGCTGATGCCTACCCCAGAGACACACTCCAGATTCCTGGGCTGGCACTCAAGGAGCCAAGGGCCACCCAGAGGACCTTCTGATCCCCAAAGGCCTCTGGAGCAGTGGCAGCTGGGATGCTGGTGGGTTACCCTGGGCCCCAGGGCTTGCAGGTCAGGGAAACAGCTGCAGCCTGCTGTGTCTACTCTGGGAGCAGCTGTGGTGGCCACAGGGCACCAGGCCTTCCTGGCTGAGTAGGGCTTGGGATTTGTTTTGTATTGTTTTGAACAAAAGAAAGCAATGATTGGCAGGGCCTGCCTGTGTCCTGAATGCTGGCTTCTGGCCAGTGGCCTCCAACCAGAGAAAAGCAACAGTTCTCTTTCAGGAAACAGACATCCCAGAGGGGAGGGGAACCACAGGCAGCTGGTTCCAAGCTGCTCTAGCCCAGAGGTCTCTCCCTCCTGGAAGGACAGGGGATGATCCTTAGAGGGCATTTGTTGTTTTGCCACGGCCTTGGGAAGTTGAGGGGGATGAACCAGAGCAGGATGACTGCTGTGGCTTCCAAGATACCTCGCACACAACCCTTGTGCTTGTGTGTCTGTGTGGAGGGACAGTAACAAAGAGAACTGGTCTGGGGTTGGGACTGTAGCTCAGTGGCAGAGCACTCGCCTAGTATGCCTGAGACCCTGGCTTCAATCCATAACACCACCAAAATGAAAAACAAACAAACTAAAGCACCAGGGCTGGGGATTTAGCTCAGTGGTTTCGCCGCCTGCTGTGCAAGCGAAGGACCCCAGTTCAATCCCCGGTACCAAAAATAAAAAATAAATACATAAAAATTAAAAAAAAAAAAAAAGACCTGGTCTTTTTCCCAGTTCTTGCCACAGGGCTCCAAAAACCCTTGGAATTTCCTGAGTAACTGTGTCTTTGTTACGCTAATGAGCTGACTCCCAGGCATCCCTAGATAGTCTCAGAATGAGGGCTGGTGACCAGAAAGATCAACCATGTGACTGGAGGTTGGGATTTGGAATCCTCAGACCTCCAGGCGGGAGAAGGGGCTGGAGACGCTGCTCAATCACGCGGCCCTTGTTCAATCAATCATTCCCACCTGATGAGATGCCACTAAAACCCTTGACTCAGGCTGGTGGGTTCCGGTTGCAAGTCCATGTGCCAGAGTGTGATGTGCCCTGATTCCACAGAAAGGGGGGTGCTACGGAACGTGAGTCTTCACTGGCTGTTCCTGGGTTCTTCCTTTAGAATGCAACTGTGCTGTTGCCAGAGCATTGGGGCAAAGGCTGTGGCTCTGAGAATCCCAACAGTTCTGCCCAGGATGCCAATCAAAGAGACACACAGTGGTGAAGGCAGAATTAATATGGATACACCGGAAGACAAGCGGCCCTGTTCCCTTAGCCCTGTCTTTGGTAGCACTGGTAGGAGATTTGGGTCTAAACAGAGGGACAGCTGGGACAGGAGGAGAGGCAAGCATAACTGAACAGTCTTTGTCAAGCTGTGATCTGGTTGATCATTATCTCAGTTCTGGTTCTGCAGGGAAGCTCTGAGAAGTCTGTTCCCAAGAGAAATTGCTCCTGCTTAGCGGGTTGATTGCATCCTGCCATCTGTCTGAGGCTCTGCTTTTCTCATTCCCCAAATCCAAGGTGACTGCAGGTTCAGGACAGTAGCTGGGGACTTCTGGGCACCACTGGGGGGGAGGCGGTCTGGAACAGGACACTGTAAAAGCTGGCAGTTGTTTCTGGGAGTGGTGGCCCATGCCTATAATACCAGCTGCTTGGGAGGCTGAGACAGGAGGACCATATGTTTGAAAAGAGCCTGGGCAACTTAGTGAGAGCCCTGGCTCAAAACAAAATCTAAAATGGGGCTGGGAGTATAGCTCGGTGGCAGAGTACTTGCATAGCAGGCATGAGCCCTTGGGTTCCATCCCCAGTACTGGAAAACTGAGAAACAGTTGACAGTTGAATGTCCCTGCAAATCCTGAAAATACCTTAACTACTCTTAGCTTGGTGAACAAGGAAGGTTAGGTAAATTTAGGGCCAGTTAACCCATCTTACCATCTTAGCCAGATTCTCCTTAAGCAATTAGCATGTCCACATGCAAAGCTGAGAGGAAATCTAAAGTTTAAGGAAATAAAGGAGACAGATGGAAAATGAAAGTGGAGAAGCTTGTAGTTACCTATTGGGCATCTGCAGAAGAAAGTGGAGAGTCAGTGCTTTTTAACAAAAGCAGCCTCTAAGTCCCTATTATAAGTTTTAGGTTACTTTTGGTAAATCACCTAAAATGAGGAGGTAACGGGAACTCCCATGACTGTAGCTGGCTGGTCAGAAGCGCAGGCCTCTTGGGGACCCCACTTGCAGCTGGCATCGGATGCAGGGGCAGTCTGATGGGGGACTGAACACACAGCAGTGGAGTCCGATGCTAACTCTGGGGTGCATAGTGTCAAAATCGAATTACAACACATCTAGTTGGCATTACTCAGCTTAGGGGGCAATGGAACGCGAGTCTACAAGAGCATGCTCACATTTGAATTTTAGAGACATGGTGTGAGCTCCACTGTGTCCATTCCCCCCAAGAGAGGGGCTTGTCTGATAACTGAGCCCCAGTCCGCCTGCTTTTTGGGAGTCTAACAGACCCGCAAGGATGCATCACTCCCGTCTGTGCTTCTATTTTCCCAGCAGAGGGCGCTCCAGCCTCATAGGTCGTCCATTTCTGCACTGCTGCTTGGCTTTCAGAGGCCTGGTGGAAAAGCCCAGAAACACACTGATTCAGGGAAATCTAATTCTTATCCAATGCCCCCAAAAGGCAACCACAGCCAGGGATCCTGGGCCAGAATCCTCAACCTACATGGGGAGCAGGTCCTCCATCTGGGTTCTGTGGAGACTGTGTGGGATTTGGGAACATTCATTCGTTCGTTTTTTATTTTTTGAGACTAGGTTTCGCTGTGTAAAACAGGCTGGTCTTGACCTCACTAGGTTGCCCAGGGAATCCTCCTGCCTCAGCCTCCCAAGTGCTAGAATTACAGGGATGCACCACCATGACCAGCTGACACTTTTTTTTTTTAAGCTGCTAATGCCATACACATAGACATAAATCCCTGGGACCTCGGAAGGGGCCTCATAGCTGCCAGGGGCCCTGAAGCCCAAGCTTGGTGGCTTCTCAGGGTCTCACCCTGCTTGGCCTCCCCCAGTGTGTGCACTGTCCCAG